TTAGCGACGCGGGAGGGAAAGGCCCGGGGGCCCGGCTTCCCCAGCCGTTTTCTTCTGCTGATCATCTCCAGACGATCTCCCGAATCTTATCGATGGGTCCGTCACAGTACGCACGCAAGACGGCACAGAATACCCTTAAATGCATAAGACCGGTGTAGACACCCATAATCAATCCCATAGAGATTATATAGATTTGACCTACCCCGGACTTCTGCATAGCACTGCTGTGCATGAAAACGGTAGAGACTTGACGTGTTTTCTATGGATCGGTCAATCCCCAGTATGGCTTTCCTTGTATCGCCTTAAAATCATTCGAGGCAACAATTGAGTGCCAATACTGGGCGTGGGGGTTCGTGAGGTTTGGGGTTGTACAGTCCGTACTTTCAGCGCTTACTTTCGTGCATCAAGAGTGACGCCACCTTTACAGCCAAGAACGGCGAGCAACGCGGTCAAACAGATGCAGCTCGCGTCCGTGAATGACCTTACCTTCCGTATAGGTATGTTCCTTTCTCTTTCCAGATACGTTAAGTACTGCTGCGGCTGCGGCAATCGTCTCATTTCTTCTCCTCGGTCACCATCTGTGTTCTCCCGTTATCACCCTCAATGCGTCCGCACGAAAACTTCGGGACCCTTCCCGAGTTGGCCGAGGTTCCGCCAAAAGTCGGTCGAGTCCCGTTCCAAGTACCGGATGTTCCAGAGTTCAAGTGGAACTGGGGTGGGTGACACTGATGCTGCTTTAATCAATCCGCCAGGTCGGTGAAGGAAGTCTAAGCGTGGACTTGCCAATCAACGTCTCCGTTTTCCTCCGGAACGGAGATGCGATATTGCGTCTCATGCGTTGTCATCCCACAAGCAAACAGGGTCGTTTTACCAAAGGAAGGTCCAGCGTGACATGCTCGTGCAACTCCCAGTGGCGCATGCAGTCCTACTCAAGTAAGGAGTAAGACGCGACGGCTAATGCTGGTAATACTAGTCGATTCCACCATCATCGTAGAGACCAAGTTGACGGCTTCATCTGGATCCGAGTCGTTGTTGAATATAACCTAGAACTGGTCTGTTTTCAGAGGTGATGGGATTATATATTGGCTCGGGGCTTTTTTCCCTTTCCCGGTTGGCATCGCACATATTCATACTTACCGGCTGCGCTGAGGCCTCTGCTATAACATGCAACGGGGACGGAAGAGGGAGCAATTATAAAATAAAGAGAAGGGGCTAAGTTGGAAGCAAGTAGGAGAGGAGTTGGGAGAGAGTAGGAGAGAAGTTGGAAGAGAGTAGGAGAGAAGTTGGAAGCGGGAAGAGGGGGAAGGGAAGAAGGAAACGAACAAGATGCGGAATGAACGGAACTGACAATAGGCCATGATCCTTCCTTCATCGTCCTGACGGCTTTCTCGAACCCCTTGCACAATTACCTTCTTCGGCCCGTATGCCAAACTTCCAAGCGACACAGAGCTACGAAAGTAGGTCGAATGTCGACCAAGGAAGGGATCTGCAAGCCGCACACAGTCTAGATTCCGGATCTTCCTCCTTCACTTCCGACTCCTTGGCCTGGGAACTCCCTCCCTCCTTGTCTCTTTCAAGCCACGGACGACACGTACGTCGTAATACATTGCTTCGTACGATACCACGCCACCCTCTCTGACTCCTCTCTTCTGGTAAGAAAAAAAGAAGAGCCGCATTGAAGTGACTAGACTAACATCTGTCAGACCATTGCGCTCGAACCGAAACCGCGTATTGATGCTTTACACCGGGGAGATGCGTTCCCCAACGCTCAGTGACCGTGGTTTGCGTGGTTTGAAGCCGGCATGTCTTCGGGATGTCGTCCCTCTTCGAAGCTCGAGATGTTATTGCAGCTGGTCCGAGTTCCGCACTCCCCGTACGACTTGTGGGTATTTTTTTTTTAACCTATGATTTCACCTTGGATCGATGGCGTGCTCGACCTTAGCTTCCCCGGCAGGCGGCACTACGTGGATCGAGCCCCGATGGGACTTCCAAGGCAGGGTTTCCGTAGATCTATCGATATGGTAATAGATTGATGTTAGATTAGACGCGCCCCCAATTCTCCAACTACGAAGTTAGTTTAGAATCCTTGTTGGTGTGGCAGTGTAGCTAGCCGCTTTCTGCCCTCGGACAGCGAGATGACTCCAAAATCTGAAAGGGAAGAAAGCGAGCTAGTTGCAAGAATAGCAGACTTCTCCAAATTTTTCTCCAAGTCTCCAATTCTCCAATGATCCCATTATTGAGCCTCCTTTCCTCTAGCGTAGATGACAACAACACTTTCCTTTCAAATTCAAGGGCCTTCTCCATCACCAGGTTCCCCACCCGGTGTGCCCCGGCGGAGATGCTCCCCGGTCCGCCCATTCCCTGGATGTCCAGGGGAGTGTGGGGACGGGGAGATAGCCGTGCCATCCCGTGTGATGAGCCGCCTGACCAACTGCCGCTGCAATTTCCCGAGCCGGGCTTTAACGTCAGACTGATACACTCCGGGCTAAAAGTTTCGTATCCCTCTCTGCGAACCTGGTAGAACACGGCTTCGTTGCCGTGCTTAATCCGTCCCCAGTCCTCATCAGAAATGCGCACACCAGGGTCATCATCAAATCATCAAAAGGCCATGAACCCACACAAGTGAGCACGCAATAATGAGAATCCCGAAGCCCAGGTGCTGTGCTGCGTTGATTTCATCGCTGGGCTGCAGACTTTGTACGCCGGTCTCTCTTGGCCCTCGTCCTATTTCACGCGAGTACCCGTTTTGAGTATAGTCGCCCAGGATCACAAAACATTTCAACATCCTCGCAGCCCAGCTATATGCCCTGCCCACCCAGCATGCAAAGGAGCGCAGCCTGTCGCTAGCCCAAGTGGGCCAGGCCGAGGCCTAAACCCACATGGGGTTTTAGCACTATGACAAGGACATGTCGTTTGGAGAAGAAGATTCGTTGGAAAGCCTTTTTCACCTTGATATCCATTCCGCGCCCGCCACGAAAATATCGTCGATGATGCAATCCGGTCTACGCTCTCTTTCGCCGGACGGGTTCGGTCCAAACTCGGGGCGGGCGATGTTGGTATGATTTGGGGGTCTCGACCTGATATTGGATCAGCCAACCTTGTCCGTCCTCTCCGATGCGATGGCTTCACCAAGTCTTTAGTCTTTGGGAGGGGATGTCTAGTCGTTATTCTCATTGGCCTTGGTTCCTATTCTAATTCGTAGTGTTGAAGCTATCGAACAGGAACAGAGCCGCGTGATGAGTGCCGGGTAGTGTAGTGTGGTGTAGTGTAGTGTTATTCTCTGTTTCATTTTTCCATGGGCTTCCCGCACACACAAGGTTACAGGCCTAGACATATTGAGAAAAGCGCGGAAAAAAAAAAAAAAAAAAAAAAAAAAAAAAAAATTTTCATCCCTGCCCCCATGGATCGGAGATTAGATAACTGCAAGGCGGTTTTCTACGCTGTCGGAGCTATGCATGGGGCTCTGCCGAAGCCACGCTTTTGGGCCTCTTACACTTCTACCAGAATTCGGGCTGGCTGTCTTCTCTTGATGTTGTGATGCCTCATGTTGATTACAGTCCCATCTCTGCCCGACGCGAGAACAGGGAGCGCTAGTTGAAGGAGGATTCCTTGGTACCTTGTAGATATAGGTTACCTGCAGGCAGTTGGCTAATGTCTCCGGAGGACATCCTTCATACATGGATCACGGCACTGCGGGTCTTGTAGGAAGGGGAAGAAACAATCTGAGCGGTATCGGGTTCGCGATGCTTGGAGAGAAAGGAAGAAGACATCTCGACGGACGACTCGAGCATCCCGACTCGTTCCCATGCCCACGTCCGGTCTCGCCTTAGATCGTGGGAAGTTACACAAACGAGCTCATACTACCTGGTAGGCATCAGGAACATGGAAGAGCCTTGGCCCTACGCTAATCTGCAAGGTAATCACCACTAAGAGGGAATCTAGCCCAAAAAGAGCAAGGGAGCCTATGCTTAACGTTCCATGTCGAGGCTAATTAAGCTATGGAACGGGCAAACTAGCTCACGCCCCCAGCCTGAAGGCTTTTGCGTCTCGTAATGAGAAGCCCAAACCCCGTCCCGGATGTCTTCATTGTCTAGATTCCTCAGCGCAGCGTAAGCCAGCAGGGAGTTTGACGTGACACAGCGGGTCAATTGCGAATTTCACCTTCGATACCACCTGGCGGGTGAATGGGCTCCAGAATGAAGCTATTCTCTCCTCTCCCCACGCCCCAAAGAGGTAAGTTCCTGACGAGTGTCGAGCCACTTGTCTTTTAAGCTATATTGGGGGTCGGCAAATGGTAAGATATGGGGAAAGGATCTGGGGCGGGAAGAAAAAAATCTAATCCTTTTTTCTGTTCACGCTTGAGTATTGCGTTATTAGGTTGTGGCTCCATGGGCGGACGCTGAGATTGTGGGTTTCTAGGGCATCACCATTCAATCTTGTTTGCTTCGTCCTCCTTTTGCTTTGATGTTGCCTTCTCCCCCTAAGGGAGAGGATATAATATATAAGATGCGTGTTGGAAGATGGATGGAAGAAGATAATCCAACTCGAGTCAGACCGTCTTGTGTGTTTACTTTTCTACAAGAACTTGGGGTGTTTCCTGGCTCACAAGCTTCTCGACAACAGTAATTCGATATCCAAGCCTCTTTGGAGTTTTCCCCATTCATTCGCATTCATTTGACTCTTGCCTTGTTTCTCGCATCTCGACTACCAGTTTCACGATATCAAGTCGCGAGGTGTAGTCCGGATGCCTGTGGCAGAAACAAACTCGGAGACTATCAGGAGGGAAACTACCTACGATTCTCTCACCGGTTTCAGCATTACTATCAGAGCCTATTGACCTCGATATATAAGATCTCGGATCCTACCCAGACATCTTGTCTTATATCGCTTCTCCCACTCTCTTTCGAATCAAGTTGAATCTAGGCATCTCCTTTCTCACAACCCACCAACTCACCACCTTGCACCCACATCGTATATAGAGGAGAAACAGCTCTGGAAACATGAGCTCTTCGATCGACCAACCCCTTCCGGGCGAGAAGCCTGAGAAGCATGCCGAGGACAGTATCAACATTAGTGATACCAGTCATGATGATCCCAATGTAAGTCATTGATCATTGGGACATCTCTATTCTGTGGCGCTATAGATTTGCTTACATGTGTCTAGGATCGCAAACTTATGCGCAAAATCGACTGGATGATTATCCCCTGGGTATGTATCTTCCCTATTATCAACTCGCATGGAACAACCCTGACCTGTGACTGCCTCGCAGCTCTGCCTTCTTTACCTCCTGGCCTTCCTTGACCGAACCAACATCGGAAATGCAAAGATTGCCGGCTTCACAGAAGCTGTGAACATCAGCACGAAGCAATACAACACTTGCCTTACCATCTTCTTTGTCTCCTATGCCGTCTTCGAGCCCCTCACCAATGTTTTGCTTAAACGGTACAGGCCGTCGCGCTTTATCCCCACAATTGTGTAAGTGGTTTCGCCTGCTCAACGTTGAGATGACAGTATTGGCTAACTCTGTTTGCTATTACTATAGCCTCCTATGGGGCCTTACTATGACTTTCACTGGATTTGTAAAGAACTACTCTGGACTTATCGCTGCGCGATGGTTCCTAGGTCTCACCGAAGCTGGTCTCTTTCCTGGCATCAGCTACTACCTGTCTTGCTAGTACAAGAGGTCTGAGATGGGTACTCGAACTGTAAGATCCTTTTCCATTCTCCAAGATCCCCCCCCCCCCCCCCCCCTTCCCTTTGTCTCTCTCTTTTCTCCTACATAGTAAGTTAACGTTCTGTTAAACAGGCTATCTTCTTCTCCGCCGCCGCTGCCTCCGGCTCCTTCGGCGGTCTCCTCGCCGCCGCCATTCAGAAAATGGACGGAATCGGCGGCCGCCCCGGCTGGGCCTGGATCTTCATCCTCGAAGGCATCGTAACCGTGGCCGCCGCCCTCGCCTCCTACTGGATGGTCCTCGACTTTCCCCAGGACGCCAAGCGCCTCACCGAGGAGGAGCGGGCACGAATCGTCCGCCGCCTAAAGGAAGACCCCCTGAATAACACCGAGCAGCACGCCTTCAAGTCTGCGTATGTTTGGTCCGCTGTTAAGGATTGGAAGACGTACCTTAGTATGGCTATATACATGGGCTGCGACGTGCCTCTGTACGCCTTCAGTCTTTTCCTCCCTAGTATCATCAAGTCTCTTGGCTGGAACACCTCCATCGTCAAGGCTCAGCTTCTCAGCGCCGCGCCGTACCTTGCTGCCGCCGTCGTCACCGTCGCGCTCGGAATCGTCGGCGACAAAACCGGCCGCCGAGGGCTAATCAACATCATCCCGTCCAGCGTCGGCGTCATCGGATTCTGCCTGCTCATCGGATCGCAGGATCCCGCGGTCAAATACGCTGGCACTTTCCTCGCCGCTCTCGGAATCTACCCCTGCGTCAGTAACTCTATCTCCTGGGTCGCCAACAACACAGCGGGAGTCTATAAGCGCGGTATCGTCCTCGGCATGGCCATCGGCTGGGGAAACCTCAGCGGTGTGATCAGCTCGAACATTTATTTCAACGGACCTAAGTACATCGAGGGTCATGCGATCGTGTTGGCGTTCTTGGCTGTCTTCTTGTGCGGTGGTAGTGCGCTGATGCTCGTTCTCCTGACGGTTGAGAATAAGAAGAGGGCGCAGGGCTTGAGGAATGGAATTTTGGAGGGCAAGACTGAGGAGGAGATTGAGGAGCTTGGCGATAAGAACCCTACGTTTGTGTACATGCTTTAGAGGGAAGGATATCTGGGATACCCGATAGGAGAGGCCTCGTTGTTTGAGGTTTTGAGATGGCGAGGGGAGTCGATGTCGGAAGCCAAGCGAGGCATGGATCATAGCGTGCTCGGTTCCTAGACTTACATCCCACATCTGTTTTCTGTGCTTTTCTTTTCATACCATTATTTTACTTTTATACCCAGTTTTGGGGGCAAGATGGAGATAGATAGATCGGAAACAAGGGGAACAATATCCCAAATATTACATTGCTTGCAGTGCGACCAGTGAACATAAACAGAGGCACTCAACGAGAAGACGAATGCTGTCGAAGGCACAAAGATCTGAGACCACTTTCATGTCTAACTCGACAGATCAATATCATTGTAACTCAGTCCATATAATAGCAGCTGGTAACAGGCGCCAAATCATCCTAGCTTCTCACCAACGACAAGGCACTCGAGATCGGTTAGCTGTTTCACTCCCATCCCTCGACAAGACAAAGAAGTGGGTGCTATCGTCCTCAAACCCCCGGGGTTTCTGGCATCTTAAGAGAAAAGGAAACGTTTCATCCTATTAATCCTATTAAAGGAAAAGAGGGAAGGACGGTACCGTGCGGCTGGGAAAGGGGGAAGGATGTAAACGTTGTCAATGAATGGATGGGATTCTTATCAACCCGGGATCGTTCTTCCGTGTAGACTTCATGTCTTGCTGGGAGTGGCTTCGATCCAGCCTCCCCTTGCTCCTGGAATCTGAACTATTGACTCCTGTTGAGACATATCATTGCCAATGGGTCCTCGACGACCTAAGCTCTGATGATATGCAGCGATGGCCTCGTGATGTCCAACTCCCTGGCTTTCCCGACACCATGCGTTTCTCTGTCCACGACGCCTTCAAATCCAACTCGGCCAATTCGTGACCTGCCACTCCTCGCCAAGGAACTGAGAGATTCAAATGAAGCAGGAGCATGAACCCGAGGCCCATATATTAACTCGGCCCAACACGAGCATGCACGTAGCCGCCATCGTGCCGGGCATTCCAGAGAAATACAGATTCTCTTCCCATGACTCTGATTGGTTTGTTTACTTCTTTTCCTCTTCTTGTCTTTTCCTGTTTCAGTGAAACGATGACGTGCCTCGTATTAAACAGGTCACTCAGATGTTAAGCAGGTTTCGCGAGTAGAGACGCAGATCTTGGAGATCCCTTCTTGAATTGGGATATGATCAACATCTTCGTCGGGGATTTTTATACTACCTTATTTTAACCTTAATCGTTACTCATGTTTCTTCTCCAAGTTGCGTCTTACACGACCCGAGGGAGGCTTAGACCTTTCGGCAAAAGTTCCGGTGTCCAAAGTTCCAGACGACAACTATCTGCCAGATCAGCATGAGCAGCAGCACGGGTGGATGTGGATGGCATCGTACATGACTGCAGAACCCCCCCTTCATCCAATATAATCTGCGGTCAAGCGTATCATCTCTTCAGCTTTCTCACCTCTCTTTTTTATCGTTCAGTCGAAACAAGGACTCCGCCACAATTCTTCCTGCAAAAGATCACGAAACAACGCAGGTGCGAAACGCAGGTATCCGTGTCCGGGCGGTTCTTGATAGGCTGGCTCGATGCGGTCTTGTCTTTTTCCTTGCTTTGGGTGTTGGGGACGGAGCGTACCCCCCATCTTTCTTCACCGCCGCTTTTTTTAGTGTTTGTGGCTTTTGCTTTCTTGCGTTTGAGGGTGATATTGACTATCCTGGAGGAGCTATTGCTGGGAACACCATCGTGGGCACCTCGAGGGCCTGGTCTTGTTTGGCCTCGAAATGACGACTCCTCCCGTCGACTCGGGGCTCATTTGCTGTGACGCCGTTTCTCTCGCAGTGGCACTCCAAGGCCATTGTACTCTCGCCATCTGATCAGCTGGTGAGATTGTTCTACCTTACCACATATAAGCTGCGACTAAGCTTTCCTTTCATTTCCATATATTGGACATTGTGATACTCGAGGAAACCGACTCTCGAGCCATTTCTCCATATTCATCCCCATTTCTAGCCGCATGCTCTGTGCTCAAAACACAGCCATGATCCGATAAACTCAACACCTACCCCAGCCTCGCGTCCCTTGCTTAATCCCCCCCCCCAAACAATCCCTTACGCATATCACATCCCAGAGACGTCCACGTCTTCCCTTGCCATGCATCTGTCTTTTTTTCTCATCCCTTGCTTCCTTCACACCCGTCCTTAGATCTCCATCATCCTGTCCCGATCTTCGAATGACATCCTGCTCCCCTCCGTCGGTAATGACTCTTTGGTCCGACTTGTGGCACCATATGGCGTCCTTGGGTGTAAGCTTGGATATATATTCTCGGGTGGTACAACGATGCAGCTCCATGCAGGAAAAAGAATGGGCCTTTTCGTTTGCCTGCCCCCCTCTCACCTAGCCCCGGCGCTAGATCTTGATCTTGCGTATTGCGGTTCTGGAGGTCCGTGTTTGGTTGTGGTTTGCCTTGAGTTTCTGTTTGAAGTCTTGCTGTCATCTGTCCGTCCTTCTCCGTATTCACGATATGTGCATGTTTGAAGGTTTCAGTAATCTTTCCTTCGTGTATCGTCTCTCAGTTTCTTATAAGTGAGGTTGTCTGCGAGACGGAAAAGAGTTGAATAAGTTTGATACAGCATAAAACAAAGTCCATGCTATCAATCGCTTACTCCAGTACGTGGGTATCGAGTCTAGTGTCACTGTCACTGGAGCAAGCGCCTCCCCCGTAGAATCCCATCTCCGTGGATGGAGATTCTCCTACCACCACCGGATACTCGCCCTGTTCCTCCACCTTCCACCCTCCATCCTCCACCCCTTGTCCCTTCTCCTCCAATCCGAGGACCTATGACATCCCATCATCGCGCCTCGTTCCCGTACCCAGATGGACCAGGACTATTCTATGGCGGAAACGACCCAAGCCCATCCACGACAACAACCACGCGAAACACCCCCCGTCCTTTCCCTCCTCCTTGCCTATCAACTAACCCTCACAAAATCCCACCCAAGACATTATCCCACACCTCCCTTTCCTCCACCAACTCATCCCATCCACTTCGGCACTGAACAATAACAGGACGCCACATCAATTTTGTGCCGTTCCACATTCCGTCACCAGCGTTCCCCCCCGAATTCTAATCCCTGTCTTTGTCTTCGAGAGACCGGCTCTCTATCCCCTAGTACCGCTTCTTAACCTCACCCATTCCCCCCTCCCCCTCTATGGGAGAGGAGAGAGAAAGAAAGAGGATGGACATATACAAGCAATCGGGATATGGCCCGTTCTACCCCGACCTGATGAATCTGACGAAACACCAGATCCAAGTCATCATCACCCTCGAGAGGGTGGGTGCCTCCCTCTCTCTAGGTGGCATCGCCGCCATCATCATCACGTTTTGGGTGTTTAAGAGATTGAGGACGGTGCCCAATTTGTTCATATTGTTCGCTTCGATCGCCAATGCTGGGGCTAGCATTGCTTGTCTTATCGGGTATGATGGGCTCACGGCTGGAACGGACTCTGCACTTTGCAAGACGCAGGCGTTTCTTCTTGAGATGTAAGTCTTTGGCGTGGGGCTGGCATAACTTTCTTTGGTATTAAGAACTTAATTTTGCTGAACCTTGTATTCTATGTAGGATGATGCAGTCCGATCCATGGTGGTCGTTCGCCATGGCCGTCAACGTCTTTCTAGTCTTCTTCTTCGGCGCCAACCCGGCTTCGTTTCGGCAGTACGTCTGGGTGTATTGTCTCGTTTGCTTCGGCGTGCCGTTCATACCGGCTATCGTATGCCTGTTGTATAAAGATAGCCGCGGTGCCGTCTACGGAGACGCAACGGTACGTGTGTTTCTTGGATCTGGTGTTTCAATGTGTTTCCTTGTCCAGTTGCTCCGTTGCTCCTGTTTTACTAACACGAGATATTCCTGGTAGCTTTGGTGTTGGATTGGAAATGAGTTCACAGAACTGCGCATATACACGTACTATGTGCCTATTTGGATCTGTATCTTCTTCTCGTCAATCATATACATCGCCGTGGGCTATCACGTCTTCCAGCAGCGGAACCAACTACGTAACCTTACCTTTAGCACGCCTAGCAAGGAAGAGTACACAATGAAGGAAGCTTCGTCGACGTCCGAGCTGCGGGACTCTGCCGACAAGGTGAGCCAGCCAACCCACTAAGACCTCCTTTCTTCAGCTAACCACCTCCCAAGAACCTCCCCCCGGTACCACCCTCCAACGTCTATGGCACAGCCGTGACCGAAGTCAAAATAACAACCTGCATTCCCCGCCCCTGGACACCCCCCGCCACACTCCAACCGTCCCGAAGCTCAGGCACCCTCCACAACCAAGCCCTCTACCCAGGCCAAGACCCAGAGATCCCCGACGCCGCCCTCATCGAATCCGCATCGCAACCCCGCTTCGAAACAACCTGCACATCCACGGCGGCCGCCGGCCCGTCGCAAACCACCCTAACGACCAGCGAAAGGAAACGGCCCTCGGGCTTCGCTAAGTTCCGCGCTAAGCTCAAAAACCTCGATCCCATCAAGCTGGCGTACCTGCGCACGAGTTTCGTCTTCGCCATTTCCATCCTCGTCACGTGGACGCCCAGCTCCGTTAACAGGATTCATAACCTCGTGCATCCGTTTGCGCCGAATTATGGGTTGAACGTGGCTAGCGCCGTGGTGCTGCCGTTGCAGGGGGTGTGGAATGCCGTGATCTTTTTCAGTACGAGTTGGGGGATGTTTAGGGAGGAGATGGGGAAGACGAGGGTGGTGAGGAGGATAAGGGGGAGTGAGGTTTCGAGGAGGATGTTTGGGGCGAGTCAGACGGACATGGTGAGGATTGAGGGGGTCGTGGGAGATGGGGAGGGTGAGAGTGAGGGTCAGAGATTGGGGGTGATGGCGGCGATGGAGATGGGGAGGCTGGGGGTTCCTCCGTTGGGGACTGTGAGGGCTATTAGAGGGTCGTTTTGAGTTTGGGTTAAGTCGTCTGGAGAGGATGGGAAGGTAAGGCGTTTCCTATCCTTTCCTCTGCCTTTTCCTCTCGGGGTATTTCTGGTCTGCTTTATTTTTGTTTTCTTGATGTAATTATTATGGAGTACAAGAGATACGTGATATGAGGGATGTTGAATATGGGTAACATGATGAGCGGAATGATGTGTTGGAAAGTCGATACTGAAATGGACGGACCTGGAGTCAGTCCTTGATGAATACAAGAAGAAAATGTAATTAGATATTGCATGATATTGTTTAGGCCGTGAAGATGAAGGGCTTCTGTCCTGGCTTCTCCGCCAAGGCCGCAGTCTGAAAAACAGAGTTCAGCGCCTTCGGTCCATCTCGTTTGGAGTACGCGACGATGGTGAGGCGGCAAGCCATTGCCTCTCTCTATCTCTCTGTAACGTCTCGGTAATCTTAGCGAGCCGAAGAACCACGAAGCGGGGAAGAGTTGTGCTGGTGCTTCTTCTTTAATCTTCGCTGTAAATCATCACATGTTTTCATGATCTTTAGGCTGCGGAAGGAGCCAGGAAACCACCTTCCTATTTGTTTGAGGAAGAAGAAGATTGAAGCCTCACATGTCACGGACCCAAATTCACATCCAAATCCAGGTCGTCCAAAATATGATGGTCGCAATAATACACCCATGATCCCGGCAGGCTACCTGAGAAAACCCCATGCTGAGATGCGAGTCGAGTAGGTCCGTCCATTCGACATGGATGCCAGGGCATCCGATATCACAGAAACATCGCCGCAGATGCAGCCGAGACATCAAAGAGAGAGAAGGGGGCCGGGAAACCCCCAAAATCCGAGGTAGACCAAAAACCCGAGAAGGAGAAGAAGAAAAGCGTCACCTACGAGCAGGCTGCCATTGCGATGGCTGCGATGCCCGGTTTTGGGCATCCAGCTGAAATCGACACAACGCTGCTTCGTACTCCGAGCTCCATTTCCGGTCCTCATCCTCTGACCCTCGATAATTACCCGTCGATCCCATGGATAGCCGTCTCTGACAAATATTACGCGGCTCTAGGATCTACCTTATCTTCCCCATCTGGAAACTGTTGCCCCAAGCCCTAGGATGGATCTATGGGTCGGGCATCGACGATGCTCTTGACTTGGACTTACACGGGACTTGGTCATCACGGGACCAGAGTTAGAAGTGGATAAACCCCGTCACGAATGCAGTCTCCCGAAATGTGATACAGCGGGGTTAACTTGAGCGAACTCCCGCCTGGTCGTCGAGAGGAAGGGCTGGAATGGTCAGCACGGATTAAATCAAGCCTCCCAGGTGGCGTGATGTTTTAGAATCTGGTGATATAAACTAGCTTACCGAGTGTATCGGGCAGCAATGCTTTAGTCGAGGAAGGGAAGCAAGGTTGGTGTGGGAAGCATTTGATTTTCACAGCACGTCAATGTTGGCTACGGACAGGGTCGCTTTACAACGGGAACAAACAAGGCGCTGGGAATATGGTTCTGAAGGATTGAGATAATTGAAGGGACCCTGAGGCAATTAGATTACACTGTTGCGCGAGCTAAACTCTATTCCTGGGACCTGGCCTTAACCCGGTTGAGTTAGTGTACATGAAGGGCACGAATTGGCTCGCTCGCCTCATTTTATGGCTGGAGGCGAGACGTTGCGAGCTCCAAACCCAATGCGACCTCATGGGGAGAAGCCCACCCCTCCACGATTCCACCACTGCACCAACTCGATGTCATTTTTCCCCTGCCAACCAATCCCGCCCCCCAAAACGGCTCCTCACGGTCCGCATCATTCGCTCTGGGTCGTGCTGCTCTCAACAGACTCCGTCGGCTTGATAACCTGGACCAGCTGGCCGACGTTTCTGCTTTGGTCCTGCAGGCGAACCGCCGTGTTGTTGAGTCCCGTGATGGCCTGGGCTGTGAGCCTCTCAGAGACGGGAGATTTGTCGGAGTTAAGAAGGAATGTAGCCATGGAGTAGTCGCTGCCATCGCTGCCGTTGCTGGGTGATGTGGAGGGTGTTAGACCTTTTTCTCCCTTCGACTCATGATGCCCTCCTGTTCCCTCAGTTCGTATGTGCTTGAACTACTCACCCGTTCTGCCTAGTAGGGCCTGTATTCATCGTAGAACCCGACATCTTCGTCGTGTAAGTATCCGTCTTTGAAGTAAGAGATAGTTGAAACCGTCCGAATGTGTGTCACGAAAAGTCTCTCGAGATGCTTGAGGAAGAGAGTTTATCGTGAGAGTTGTCCGGCACCGACTCGAACGACCACACGGCCCTTGATGAGCCTTCTTATAGTTTTAATTCCACCATGACCTAGTTTCTCGCGCTGAGCGCTTTTAGTTATTTCTCATTGTTCGCTGCATCGCGTGTGCCCAATTCCATGATCTCACTGTCGAGGCACATCCCGGGGCAGCGCAGGCGCATTCTCAGCGAGCAACAGCCCAACCAACTGTGTGGCGCCTCGAGCCCACTGCGTCTCGAACGGGAAAAGACACTGCTCTGCGCCGGCTTGGCGTTGCTGCATCGGGGATGATTGCGCTCCGCGCGAAAGGGTCTGCGCACCGCGGTGGGGATTTTCTATATGGGAGCCCCAGATCAAGCATTACGTGTTCCCTATTTCGATCCTGCTCAAGCCAGGGTTTGTCGATTCGCAATGCGGCGTGGAGTGATGGCAGTCAGATTGGCTCTGCGCTCTGGCGCAACACTCGCAGTCGAATGAATGCGTTGAGCTGAGGGGAAACCCCTCGTCAGATTGGCCAGCCAGGCCAGCTCCCAGCCGACTTATGGTTCTGCTACTTCTATCACATCCTGTTCTGAAAAATCGTGTTTTGGAAAATCGGGTTTTGGAAAATCGGGTTTTGAAAAATCCTGTTCTGAAAAATCCTGTTCTGGCAAATCCCCTTCCACCACATCCTGTCCCAACACATCCTGGTCTGGCGCAACCTGTTCTGGTTCTTCCGCTTTTGGTTCTTCCTCTTCCGATTCTCCGATTCTTCGTTTTCTTCTTCTGTCATTTTTTTCTTTCTTATTTTTTGTGTTTATTTCTTTTTTCCGATTACCCCCTTGAGTCTGCATTAACCAACCTCTGCCTTTCCGGTTCTTCTTGCTATCTGTGCAAACATCTGAGGATGGTCGTCTCTTGAGAGCCTTGTCAGAGCAGTGGAAGCCAGGCCATCACCCCGCAGCGCTGCATTTCCAGAGTGCATTGGGACACGCATTGATCATTGACATCCACATCACCCCTACGGCTTCCCCTGCCTTGTATTAACGGCCGAATCATCGACCCCTCCTCGAGCAAGTCTGATGACACCACTAACACCAGAAGATCTTGCCTTAAAACACGCTGGTTGCTCAAGACACGATGACGCCCTCCCATCTATCCAAGCGACACTCCTCTCCTAAGAAGCCTTTTCGGTCAACCGAGCGAAGCTCTTCCGCGGAGCAGACGATCCCCCGAAGCTTACTTCTAGACGGCAATAAGAACATGGTTACCCATATCTCGTATCGGAAAAGCGAGAGAGGGTCATTCGATAATGGAGTTGAGTCCGGGCGCTGGGGGATAGTTGCGGTCAAAGATGCGAGAGTGATGAGCTCTCTGTTAGTAGAGGTATGTCGTTGTGAATGTAGCCGGGCGATTAGTGTAATCCCGTCAACTCGGCGAACCCCCATCACTAACACCCCGACTGCTTTGTAGGACATTCCTCGTGATATTGACCGCTGCAGGCAACCCTTTTTTGAAGGTCCATGGGTATTGTGGGTATGTTTCTGCTCCTCGAACGCTTCTCGGCAAAGGGAAGGCGGGAGACAAAAAATAACAGACCTGTGACATGAAGCTCTTTTGCTAACGTTGACTTGCAGGGTGATTTAGCTAGATACGCGGGCCAGTCGGAAGAGCAAGTAACGAAAGTGAACCGAGTCATGACGATTCTTCGGACAGAACTCATGCTCAAGAAACTCCTCCAGACAGTCAAGAACGTCGACCCGATTTCAATAATTCACGGTGAAACGCCAAAGCTTGTCGCCACTATTAACGCAAACCGCTTATTACCGGTAGGTACCTGTTCTATTTCGGCCCCCGGCGTAGGAAGGAGTTTGAAGGGCGGCCCAGGCATGAACATAACCGCTGATATTCCCATCTAGGCGCCCAATCACGAAGAAGAGAATGGCCAAACGTGGTCACGATATAACTCGATGGGCGAGGACGCCCAAAGACTCAGGCAAAAAGATCCTATTCCAGAGACCACGGAGCCGGTGGGCCTTGCACCGCAGACTCCAATATCACCAGACACAGCTCTCGGGCTTCGAGGGCAAGAGCAGGAGCCTGAGCAGGCTTGCGACGGGGACGGCGGTAGGCCTAATACGGTGAGTAGGTCCACTGTAGTGGACCCCACCGGCCGCGGCTCTGGAAAGGACAAGAAGGCAGCTTCGAGGAAGCGGGCTCGCACAGGTGATGACGGTACCAATGACGATACGCCGTCGGGGAATGATGGCAATGGCGGTGGGGGTGGTGAAACGAGATCGACCGAGCAAGAGAAGATGAGGTTTGCTTGTCCCTATCACAAGCGGGACCCAGTGCGATTCAACCAAGGGGCATGTCGGGGGCCAGGCCCGGGGGGTTTTGAGAACTTTAGTCGACTCAAGTAAGTTCGCATCCGACTGTGTCCGGGCAACTTCGGGACAGACATTGACAAAAAATAGGGAGCATGTCTGGAGAAAACACCGGCAAATGCCCTCGTGCCCCCGTTGCCAGGAGCAGTTTCCGGACAAAGACAGCTTGCACAAGCATCAGCGTCAGCAGGCTCCGTGCGTATGGTCCGAAACTATTTTAGCGAGAGACCCACTTGAAGGACACGATAGGGCCCAACGAAAAAAGCTGCCCCCGGGCAAGCTCTCGAAGAAGTCGGGGGTTGATAAGTGGCGGGATATGTACCGCATTCTTTTCAATATTGATGATAATGCCCAGCTCCCATCACCTCGTAAGTGCACCTCTGCAGCGGGACTGCTCTACCCATGTTTCATGACTCAGAGTAGCTGATGCTGGACGATATCTAGATTATGAGGAGAACGAAGGGTTCCTTTCGCAGGCGTCTGCTGACCTCTGGGAAAACCTTCTGCATAATCCTGATCTCGATGAGAGCATGGCTGATGTGTCTCGACTTAGAGACGATCCTATAGCCCAAGCGGCCGCCATGATGCATCACCGGAGGGTGATTTTCGAGCAGGTTCAACGCACAATGAGAGGTGTTTCGCAGAACATGAAAGCGAAGAAGCAGGACCCGACGGCATTACCAGTTCCCTCGGTAGTGATTTCGGGTTCAGCCTCTGGGACCCTGAGCCTGGAATCACAATCAGAAGTGGGACAGACGCCCATCTCGTCCCCCAACACAGGCACTTCATCTTTTGCCCATTCATGTTCGGAGGCCACTGGTCCGGGGGCGATCGGAGATATGCCGCACAACGCCTCATTAACGCCACCGGTGGGATCACGACCCGGGGTGATGAGGAGCGCTGAGAAGAGAACGCAAGACGGAGGAGTTGTCCATCGTCAGCCAGGTTTAGAGACATTGCCAGGGGTTGGAACTGTGGGGATTTATGGTGGCGGAAGCAGTCAGGAGATTGGGGGAAATACGCTGCCGGATATGGGCCCAGAGGCGTCGTCGGGGATAGGTGATGTCTTCATTAACGCAGGTGGCGAGGACTGGGGAGCCGAACATTTTGATGGTGAGCTGTTTAGCCGTTTGCTTAGGGTTCCGCCCGATTCCCAGGGATGAGGGTTCAATCTTCAGTTTGTAATTCACATGAGGCGGCGTTAAAGATATATCCTCGCTATATATATACCGAATATATTGACGCCAATAAGTCTAGTACATCTCACAGCAACGGGCACTCGAAGCTCCTGGAAGTTGAGGTAACAACTGATCCGGACCTGTTTCGGAAGGAAGGGTCCGTCCGGATCCACTGACGAGGTACATCTCATCAACGGTCCAATTGTGCTTCGTGCTTCGTAACCGAAGCTACTTTGTAAGTTCGCTGACTAAGTCCTAGAATTAGCCCAGCGGCTTCAATGTTAGGATGTACAGCTGGAGTTCGAGAAAATTGACCCACCAATGCGGAAGAAAAGGAGCATCCTTGCCTAATTAAGCCCTCTTGGGTCATTGGCAGATGGGCTAAATGCCAGGAACCCGATTCTCGAACCACCATGAGTCCATCCAGACAACTTGCTCATCTTAATGCGCCGTCAGCCTTGTAGCTGGAGCGAGGGCCGTTTCTTTCTACACACTTTTCTATCCCTAAAGGCGAGTTACCTACGGAAGGACGTCAAACGTCATTCTTCGTTATCTTATTTTTATTTCTATTTTTAATATTCTTTTCCTCCAACCGTCTCGCCCCTTGACCATTAACCTGAACGACGATCCTTAACTCGTTGATGGTTCACCTGACCGTCCTTCACGAATCCGAGAAAAGAAACGAATCCCACGCCATGGCGCGCCGCCAGCATCTCTCCCTTATAGTGGTGCTGGGCTTCTTCGCCTGCTTCACCCTCTTCTACCTCTTCTCCGGCCCATCAGACAGCACACTTTCGGTGCCCCGCGTACCCGGCGATGTATCACCTGTGACCCAACATAATGCACATGCCGGGCCAGGGAACCAGAAGACGACCGCGGAGGATGCGAGCAGGATAGATGTCGGTAGCATTCCGGATAGTATTCTCAGTGGAGGCTCCATTGCGCCCAAACTGGAGAACGCGACGATCAAGTACGGTTTTCCCTTGTTCGAAAACTGTCCCTCTCCCCTTTTTTACTACTTCTCGGAATTTTGCGTGGCCAAGATGATACTGACTCAAACCCGTGTTCAGAGCCGAACTCGGCCGCGCCTCCTGGAAACTATTCCACACGATGATGGCCCGCTTCCCCGAGAAGCCTACCGAGGACGATAGCCTCGCCCTCAAGACCTACATCCAGCTCTTCGCGAGGTTATACCCCTGCGGAGACTGCGCCGTCCACTTCCGGGGCCTGCTGGCCAAGTACCCGCCTCAGACGGGCTCGAGGAACGCGGCCGCCGGATGGGCGTGTTTCATGCATAACCTGGTGAACGAGAGGTTGCACAAGCCCGAGTTCGACTGTACCAAGATTGGTGATTTCTACGATTGTGGGTGTGGTGAGGAGGGGCATAAGGAGGGGGAGGTCGAGGGAGAGAAGAAGGAGGAGGACGAGGAACCGGATAAGGCTGAATTACAATAGGGGAGGAGCGGTAGTAACAGAGGAGGAGAGGAAGGGATTTAATGTATATAGACGGCGTCTCGGGTATGATTTCATATTTCCAGCTAAAGTAGAGCGATGAAAGCTCGGGTATGCACTCGATTTGTACATAATTTGGAGAACGAAGAGCAAGAGCGACCAAATCAGAGACTCTGTACATAATAATGATGAATCATCGCAAGGCAAGACGTAAGCCACTTTATCGCCCACTTCACCCCAGGGAAGGCTACCTCGGCATCGAAAGAGATGTAAATCATAGACGATAGCCCTTCGGATTCAAACGAGGTTAATTCGTTGCGCTTCTCCAGTTCTTTGAACTTCAAATCAAGCCACCTTTTCTCATTCATCCAATGCTTTGATGTGGTACAATCACCACGTGATTTTATGTGCGTTGCTTATTCAGCAAGGTGGTGATGCATTCGCAGCAACGCGTTGCCCAGAGCTGCCTGTAGCAAGAGCTGGAAGCTCACCTCCAGCCTCGACATCCCAGCATTCATCATTCCTTTCCAGCCCAACTCCGCGATTCGAAACAAACGAAATTGAAACCGCCGACCCCATTTAATTGTCGCATCCAAAGAAGACCCGACCCTCATCGATATCTACCAGGAATACCAACAGTTTACATCATGGAGTTCACCAACACTGGCATGATGAATGAAGGTAGGAGCGAGCTCCGACGCTCATCTGCGACGAGGTGCGACGCTGACTGAAGCTTTAGATGGCATCCATCTTGACATGGACAGGTTAAAGAAGGGCGAGGTGAAGTAAGTTGGAACCCAGGATCCGCGCTGCGCCTGATAACTGGACCATTTGAGCTAACGACTCGCAGCTTGGGAACGTCGATGTCAGTAGTCCGCCCCAATTGCGGCGACCGCATCAAGCGCTGACCTCAAATATAGTATGGCCGTAACATTCAAGGATGGAGTTATCCTAGGTACGTCCTAACTAGTTACCCCTCGACCTAAACTCATGGTAAGGTGGGCCTTGGAAGCTGACAACCCTGCAGGAGCTGACTCGCGAACGACGACCGGCGCCTACATTGCGAACCGAGTAACCGACAAGCTCACACAAGTCCACGACACCATCTGGTGTTGCCGATCTGGCTCCGCCGCCGATACCCAGGCCGTCGCCGACATCGTCCAATACTATCTTGGTCTCTACGCCGCTGTCAACCGCCAGCCCCCGACGACGCAGACTGCCGCTTCTCTTTTCCAGGAGATTTGCTACTCCAACAAGGATAACCTCTCGTACGTATCATGTCGTGCATATGGAAATTTTGAGAAAGAGAGAGGGAGAGAGTGTGTGACAGAAGGCTGACGAAAGTGATGTTCAATAGTGCTGGACTCATCATTGCCGGTTGGGACGAGCGACACGGCGGCCAAGTATATTCCATTCCTCTGGGAGGATCCCTACACAAGCAGGCCTACGCTATTGGCGGGTCCGGCTCTACGTACATCTACGGTTACTGCGACGCGAACTGGAAGGAGGGCATGGAAGAGAAGGAGGCCGTCGATTTTGTCAAGGGAGCGCTTGCGGAAGCCATCAAGTGGGATGGAAGCTCTGGTGGCGTTATTCGCATGGTGGTGTTGACGGCCAAGGGTGCGGACAGGCATCTGTACCTCCCGGATACGGGGTACAAGGTGAGGCAGCTGTAAGAGGGAAGGGAAGGTCTTCGAGACTGGAAGGAGGGGTGAGATGTCTCGTTCAGTCCTGGCTGGTGAGGCTGGAATATGGCCTTGATATATGGTCGGCCACGAGGCTAGAGGTGTAAATGTTTGCGAGCAGGGCGATGCTCGTGTGTACCCATTACTCAGTTCCCATTATTCTGATCCGGATAACTGTCTTGTCTTTGTTTCTTCCCTCTGAAGGTGAATCCTGGCGAATTTACGTGTTGTGATTGGCTGGGCTGAGGCGGGCCGTTGTGTTTGTGTTACTGATAACATCCACTGCCTTGGCTAGAGAGACCTTCAAGGTGGAGGACACGGCATACTTCATTCAGAGCAGTGGGCGTCGGACACTGCTTCGAACCCGCGACACGTGGCCCTGCCCATTGGGGAGCGGGAAGAGTGGTGACCTAGGAATGACAAGAGCGCACGCCTCCTGTTTCCTCAAATGGCAAGGACAAGAAAACCCGCTGTTGACGAGGAGCGGTGAGGAAGCAAGGGGTAAGCAGATTTCTATGCGGTGTTTATGTACCGCCTACGTTAGGGCAAGAGTGATGGGTGCAGAGAAATCCAGGGTGACCCTACAGGTATGTGATGCCTTCTGTGGTGAGGGTGTGTAAGGTCATTGGGGGTAGGATTTCCACGTCACACAGGTTCTACAGGTACAGCCGGTGAGGAAGTATCGTGAACACGTGGGATGCACTTCGTAAAGGCCAATTTCCAGTAGGATAAAGTGTCCAAGAGATTTGAAGTGGAAGTTAGAGAAGTTATGTTCAAGGTCCGAGATACTGTCGAATTCGTGAGAACTGCTCGAGTAATGTCCGAGACTTCTTTCCTCCTAGATGATTATAGCAATCGCTCCGAAGATGTCTAAAAAGTAATACTTTGCAGACGAGAACCAGTACCCAATACCTTGATCCTATGGGAAGGGTCCGTCGTGAGAAGAGGAAGATGTAGCACGCGGTTCTCCCCGGACCGTCTGCCTCGTGGGCTGTTTACAAGATCAGATTGGCTGGGATACCGATTTGTTCCAATTGCTCTCTGCATCCTGCTGTTGATGACCAGGGTTCCCGGGTTGTGTTCCCCGTGGGGGGTGTGGACGCTTTTAGCCAGGATCGGAGGACCAGGGTTACCTCACAGACGGACTTGGAGTCAATCGACATTTTAAGGTATTGGACCCGGCTCATTGAATTCCTTCCATTGGATTCTCGTGACATTCATGGAATGCGTAAAAGTGATTCTGAAGCAACGACCGCGCCGGAGGGGGTCACAGTCTGCATGGTGAAAATCTCCTTTTCCTTCCCCCACTTGACCCTCTCAACGTCTCCGATCCTACTTTACAATCTCGCGACCTAATACAAGATCATATGTCGGCGCTGTCCCCGTCCACGAGCCGAGTCGTCCCTCATCCTTCTTCCTATCGGCGTATGAGATGCTTTCCTTTTCGATCTTGTCCCAGTCCTTGGCGGAGCTATCTATTATGTCGGTAGAAATTGTCAACTCTGCTCTGAGGAGCAATGGAAGGTGACAGACTCTCATCGCATCGGTGAGAGAAGAGATGTGAGATGAGAGAAGTGGGATGGGGGAACGAACCTATGACGCCATCTTTTTGGAGCTGTGCCAGGGCGTCTTTGACCCAGTTCCGACACGTCCACTCAGGGTTCTATCAGGAAAGGAAGAGGACATCCTCATTAGCCTCTATTTCCCCTTCTCGAAGCTCGAAAGCCGGTGTCGAGAAATGCGATCTCAGGTGTCCCACTTACATCCTGCAAAATCTGCACCTTCTCAACCGACGCCTCGAACTGGGCTTTGGTCCCGCGGAGCTTGCCGATGAGTATCCTGACAAAAGGCTTCGCGTCCTCTGAACCGGCAGGCGCACTCTCGACGGCATTCTTCTCGTACTCCCAGGTGGATCTGAGAGCTCCGCCTCGGAGGAGGAGTTTGTTGGCGGTGTGATATCGAGTCGTGGCCTTGGACGGGGAGGATTCGGTTTTCGGTGATACTAAAAGTGCCCAGTGGTATCTGAAAGACAGGGAAGAGGGGTGGTGTTAGTTTTCCCTTCTGCAACCCCGCCGTGGTTATTGAGCGCCGAACATATTCAACACAGGTGAGTTGAGGAATCTTCGACCGCTTCATGGACCGAACTCTTGATAAATTTCTGGTCTACGACTCGAGTCCCGAGGAAATACGAGGAGGATAGAACTCACGCATTTTCACCCTTGTTGAAGTAGAGCGCAACGTATATACGGTCCTTGTTGAATGAGAGGAGTCGCATGGCCATCTTGTAGGTGTTATGCGCCTCGCCAGGTATCACACAGGGAAGGGGGCTTTGAGACTGGATTGGAAACGGAGTATTTTGAGAAGAGAGAAGAAGTGAAAAAGGAGAGTTGAAATTTCCAGTTTTATCTTCTTCATTGAAAGCCCGGGGGGGCCAAAGACATGATAGAGTCATCCATGACTGAGAGAGGGGAGGACCTCCAAAAACCAGAACCGGAAACTACCATTGTGGCAGGGAATTTTACGATAGTTCGGGTCGAGTACAGCATCCGTGATCCAGTTCATGTTGCCTTATTGTCTTGGCGATTTGGAGATGTTTCGCTAGTGTACCGCAGCAACTGCAAGGGACTGTACCATACACTTGCAGACATGGAAATGCATCACAATTTGGAAGATGACCTGGACCCTGAGGGGAGCCTGCAAAGGAAGCCATGGAACCAGGGGTTATCGCTTCCGAGGCGCCACTAGGAACATTAAGAGCATTTTAGTTGACAAGGCGAGAGATCTCGAAAATTCTGAAGCATTTGATGCTGAGCAAGGAACAAATGGGGAGAAGGATTAAGGGGAAGGTCAAAGCTCCAGGGACCCTTTGCACCGTTGCCATCACATACGAAGTAGAATTAATGCATCAATCAATCAAATGGATCTCGGGAGTATTCTTCTGAACCGCCTGACGGGCGAGGCCGGCTGTCATCCCTGGACGTCCGTGTGCCCTGAGTTTTGCGGGTGAGATCAATCGATGCTGGTTTGTATTCAAGTTGTTGTTTGATATCAGGCATTGAGCTTTGTCAGCTCCGCCTGAACCAGGTTGCGGCAGTGAGAGGTGTCAATGGAAGGAGCCATAATTTGCCGTTTCGAGGTGATATATTTGCGGCGCCTGCTGAAAGATTTGAGACTATTGCATCGAAGGGCGATTTCCATCTTTTCGGCCTGGTTAGCCTGGCTATCATACTGCAGGGGAGCAGTGGAGGGTGTCCTCGTGTCGGTCGAGATCCGGCGCGCTGGGTCCCCGCCGGGCAAGCCACTAGATCGAGAAATGCTCTCCGGTGAGATGGGCTGGCCGAAACGGGTCCGGAAGCACGAGGAGGGATTATTCGCCAGGCCGTAAAAGTGGATTAAAGGTATGCCACTGGCTGTCGAGTCTTGTGTTACAGTCTCATTATGCTCTAGTCAGGGGAAGGGGAGGGGGAGGGGGAGGGGTATTAGAAACGAGACATGTTGAAAGAATGTCTAGGGAGGACCCTTTCCATTTCTAAATGTTGGGGATCCTGAAATAGGACGCTGTCAGTTCAAGGTCTAGTATTCTATTAATAACTGCGGCCAATAGAGAGGCCCGATATCTCTGCGATAGGCTCAATGACGCCTGGAGTGAGAGATATCCTTCGAGATTGAACCTGGGCCACGTCGGCTGTCGACGGTAGGAGTTGGGGCAATATCGCGGAACTAACATGGGCATGGAAAAAAACACTCGTTCTTTTTACTCGCTAGACATTTCCTCATGCGTTCCTAGTCTTACTCCTCCGCAGCAGGGGAAGATGTGGACTAAAGCTCAGCTCCAGAATTGGTATCCATAGTATTATTTCTGAGCATAGTGTAGAATGGAAATGCCAAGAAAGTCGTCAAAATAGAGCTACCAGCTAGGCGGGTGAGGAGAAGACAGCCAGCGAGGGTACACTAGTGTAATCATATCTAGCTGGTGCTTGCTCAAGTGAAGTGCACTCGGAGAGCCCTTGGTTTCCGCATCGTTCAAAGAAAATCGACTCCTTCCTGTTCTCTGGTCTCTCTCTCTTGAGCTCCAAGACATAGCTGGGGTAGAAGAGCTGGAACTGTAGCAAGAGCTATTATATCCAGGACGACCAAAAACCAAGCTTACGTTTTCCAGAGTATAGATCGGAGGTGAGCATGTTAGGATGCTGTGTTCGCGGGAAGAAGTTCGAATCCTGCACATGGGAGATGACGCAAATCGTGACTTGTTTGGACCTTGTCGGTTCTGTTTAATCATATGGTGTGTGATATAAAAGATCCCGCCTCCTCTCTCTGTTTGCTAGGATAGAGCGAGCATGGTTCCCGATCCAGTCTTATCCTCTTCCCGCGGCTCAATGGAGCAATGTGAAATGGAAGCTCGGCTTCGGGCCGTGGATTCGTCGTCATCGGCTAGCCACCTGCAGATCACCTTGACAATGAGCATGATAGGAACAAGATGCCAAGTCTCCGACAGAGGAGCTTTTGTGCCTGAAATCACAGAATAGGCGGTCAGGTTCTGTTAGGAATGAGCAATTAAATTTCTGCCAGTCACGGATGGACTCTCTCTTTCGGCTCATTCTTCTTTCGCTTGGGCGGTGCCGGCGACAGAGGACGAATTGTTTCTAGAATATTGCTACAGGACTCTCAGCCCACGTGTACTCGAAGAACGGAAAAAAAAAAAATAATAAAAAAATAAAAAAATAAAAAAAAAAAAAAAAAAAAAAAAAAAAAAAAAAAAAAAAAACTAAACTACTGACGAAAGAGAAAGAAAACAAGAAGCAAGGAACAAGGAACAGCGAGAAAAGAAACTTTAACAATAAAGAAGGCTCGTCGAGGATACCTTCGCGACATTACTGCGCAGAGACTTGGTCAGTCTCACCAGAGCCAAATCGTGATCCCAGCCGCTGTCAATCACGTCCTGCTTGTGCGTCTATCAGTTATCAACTACCTGCACTGCCTCCTCCTTATCTGAAATGGATCCTTACATCGCAGAGATTGCACATACTTCGTACATCTACACCCGATGTCTGCATGCAAACACACACACACACACATACATATTAATTTCCACCTCGCTCTCTGGCTTGCACCGGATGGATGGTCGCTTTGTACTGCCTGGAGGTGCAAGCGTGCGGCAATATGGAAATAGGCATTGCTAGCCTTTCCCCGTGGCTGGCCAAAGGCCTAGGCGGAGATATTGACGTGCACTCATTCATCGCATCAAGCCGGTATGAAACTTCTCTTCTTAGGCTCAGGCGGATAAACTCTAATCCTGCCTCGACCTGGGGTTGGGCGCCTTGGGCTGAGCTTCGATGACATCCAGAGATCCGATAAGGTGCCTTGCCTGCTCAAGCTAATCATCATCTACTATTTTTGACTCGTGCATCCTTAAACCTTGCCGTGGAAGCAGCGTGTTTTGATTTTTCTGGGGAGCTCTGAGTGAATGGCAAGTGAATGCAACATGCGTGAGTCCATTTCTTGGCTGAGAAACAAGCTCATGGACTCACGAAGCTTTCCGAGCTTTGAACCCTCGTGCATCTTGGGTCCGTGGCCCTCGGTGGTGAGTTGAGTGGGAAGAGAGTACATGTGTACCTGTGTACCGAGCTACTTAAATTGCTCCTCAGGCAATGCCTGCGCTCTTCCTCTTCCTATTCGTCAGGCCACGGAGCCGGCTCGGTTGGGGAAATCGAGGCAGAGGCACCTTGTTCGTCATCCACTTTTCAAGGTCCCCTGGGCGCCTGTCCAACACGTGCTCGGGACACTGGCACTCAGCGATCGGGGTCGAGACCAGGGCGCCACTAAAAGCCACTGGAATGAGATCGTGGATCATTTCTGACTTGTGCTCTGGGCCACGCCAGACAGAGATAGGTCATCGCGAAACGAAACGAATTGCAACTCGGGATCGGGACGGTGAATTCAAGTTGGTATTTTGAGGAATCCTGATATTAATAGTGGATTTATGAGGGAGCAATCAATTGAAACGTGAAATCAGACTATTCCCTCCACTGTTCAGTTTCGAATGGAGTGTTCTCCTTTGTATGTTCTGATCAGTCGAGGAAGATTGGCTTCGTATAAGACAGCCTGGCGTGCTCGGTGGAAGAATCCGGATTAGCAGCAGCGTCACCGACTGTCCTCCACCCTATCCCCTATCACCTCGATCGCGCCCTGCAGCGCAGTTGTATTAAGTACGAAGTGGTGTACTCTTTCCACCGGTCCAATCTCAACTGCAAATCAGTACATCCGACATTGAAATCTACATTCTGTTGGGAAAGACAGCATCGAAATCCAATACGCGATACGGGCCAAGTGTTACTACCTTCGACACCGCGAGGGATTTGCGGCGTATTTCGTACAACATCAAGCCCATTTCCCTGCTCTGCCAGCTAATCTACAAGATTTGTTTACGCCTCCCACTTTCCCCATTTCCCGTTCCCGGCGCGAACATTCATCAATTGTCGAGCCTCGCCCTGCATTTGCTCCTTTTTGCAGCCACAAATTGCACGGACAAAGTAGCCTGAAATATAAGTAAGTCGTGTACGGCAGCAGTACTGCCAGGATGTACTTCGTCCTATCGTCTTCTTCCTCGTAGCTTCCGGTTGTTCCCACCTCTGCCAACGTTTGCACCTTCCACCCCTCCCACTTCCCACTCTCCCGCGCAAAGCTGCCCACGCCAGCCCACGCAGCCGCCCTTTGTGTCCTTGTGTGGTTCCTTCCCTCTTCCCTGACTTCCCTGGCTTCCCTGACCCCTACTTCATACTCCACACACAGACAGGGAAGTTGTGAACTTGTTCCCCTCCTTCACTCCGTCCTCCCGCATTTTCCGTCTCCTAAGTTCCCCATCCTAAGCCTATCATCCCTCAAAAATACAACTCTGATGTCCTGCTCTGTTCTTGTCTTGGATTGAATCCCTTTTTTCGTTCCTTGTTTATTATGTCATCTCCTCTCAGATTAGTCTTGCTCTCTTAGATTCCGATCGCTCTCCCTACATTCGCCAACCAGATGCCTCCCACTTCCACTAAACTTTTTTCCTTCCATCCCCTCAACTAACCATCGCCACCTACTCGCCTGAGGACAATCGAAGGGGGGCTTTACGTTTTCCTAGAGATTCCTATAAACCCCGATCGAACAACACGTTGCACTCAGCCGCCCGTTTTCGTCATTCTCTCCTTTTCTTCCTTTAGACGATTCCTACGAGGCGCCCCCCTTCGCACTTCTCCCGCCCGACGCGACGACTCGACCCGATCCTGTGTCTGTGACGCCGAGCTGTTTTTTCCAACTCTCTCACCCCTCTATTTTCCACCGAGTCGAACGTCCCCGTTGTCCAGGGTGCCCCTCCATATCGCCCTCCCAATTTTTGACGCCATCACCTTCGACCCCTCGTCGCACCACATTCCGATAACCTACAGGCAATCACGATCAACTTTGCTTGCAGCCATTTTTTTTTCTCTGTCCATGACATTGATGACTCTGTAACCTAAACAACACGCATTACGATATTCGTCCCTAACTGCCCTCGACCTCTTCCTGCAGCGCTGCCCATTTCCGACCGTGTTTCATTCGGTTGTTGGCTCCTCTTTTTCGGTTGCGGCCTGGTATTTCCCAAGTATGACATAGAGTGAGGCCCTCCTTGTTTCTTTTGTTTTTCCTGCCGCTTTACCCTATTCTCGTTTTCAGTTTTGTTTTTCTTCTTTTTTTCCCCGCTCGCTACCCGATCCACTCCTCCCTAGCCTTACCTCCTACGCGATGCTCCAGTTCTGCCATCCCTAGACGTGTTTCCCATCCGAGGATCGTTGGGCTCCGATCGCACACGAGCTTTGCTGTCCTCCCCTCGTCGCCTGGTTCACGCTACTGTGGCAGTGCTTGTGATTGTTTTATATGCTCTCACCTGCTTCAATCGCTCTTCTATGCGCTGTGGTTTCGGATTCGCCATGCGCTCCTTCCTCCTCCCCTCTTCTCCAGTCCGCCACATCCCACCAACTACAGGGCAACCGCCGGATTTCTCCCTTCTCCTCCCCAGCTTAAGCTTTAGATAATTTCGAGCTCAGCCTATGTTTATGACGTCGCTTTGATCCGAGAGCTAATATCGTTCGCAACGCCGCAGACTTTCACCCCCATCTTACACTCCTGATAATCCTTAATAATTTGAGGCACAATACCATGCTATGGTCTCTGTGGCCGGTGACTCTTCTGGATCTTCACATTTACCTACAATGATTGCCACCACAACAGTTCAGCACCAGCATTCTCGGGAACCTTCACATTACCTCTCCAGTCGCTCCAGAGAATCGAGTGAGTGCCGACCCTCGCCGAGCCCACGATATCCACCCGCACAAGCCCAAACCCAAACACGATCCTCCGCCACCCACTCACAGACCTCATACCGCCCAGACCAGTCCAAGTTACCGATCGATCCCCAACGGTCCACCCCCGGCGGGGCGTCTCGCTTCCCCTCGCCGCCGGATTCATCCTCGCCGAGCACCGACTATATCCCGAGCCAATCGTCGTCGCAGAATGTGCGTCCCGATCCCAACATGGCGTCCCTAGTTCGCGAGGCCGCCCCTGTAGTCGGCCCTGCCACGGCAGTGATACCTCCCGCCGGCCACCACTCTTCTTCCGCTTCCCACCGTCAGCAGCCGTCGCCGTCTTCGGACAGCGGATTTGCCGTCAACGCGGCGTACAAGGATGTTGGCATGGAGGACTATATCCACCACGGCCATGACTCGTTCAAGGAGTCCCCGCCAACCCAGACTGTACACGTCCGAGATCTCAGCCACGTGCAGAGTCTCGCGCGCGCAGAGCTGTTACCCGGAGCTACTTCACCCAGTCTGGAGGAACCCGCAGCGCAGCATGTAAAATACGATATTAGCGGCATGCCCATCAGCGACATTATCGAGATGGTCGCGGCCCTGTTAACGAAAATTACGTCTACAAACGACCTGCAGCACGACGCCATTCAGAGGAACATGGCCCATCAACAGCAGGCGAGCCAGAATAACGAATCGGGGAGCGGCTCCCAGATGAGCCCGCTGAGCACATCAGTGCTGGCGTTCCACGGAAAAAACGTTCCAGCCATTACCATATTAAGTTATCTCTCTAGGATACATCGCTACTGCCCAACGACGTACGACGTGTTTTTAAGTTTACTCGTTTACTTTGACCGGATGACGGAACGCGTAAACGAGATGGTGATGAAAAATGAGCAAGCTAAGAGACGCGCCGCGCTTCGCACAGCAAGCCTCTCGGGATCCCGCAGCCACTCGGAAAGCCATCACAGCGACACGGCCATGAGAGACGACAGCAGTGATAGCGTCGAATCGGACTCTGACCTGGCGGATGACGATGATGATGATGATGACGACGACGATGATGAGATGGAAGATCGGGGCCACCACGGTTCTGCACCCAAGATTATTTCTAACCCCTCCACTACCGAGCTCACGTCTGGGCCAGCTACGTATTTTGTAGTCGACAGCTTCAACATCCACCGACTAATTATTGCCGGTGTGACATGCGCGAGCAAATTCTTCTCGGACGTATTTTATACGAACTCGAGATACGCCAAGGTATGTTCCCCCCCCCCTTTTCCAGTCCACAAGCAGGCTCAGCGGTGAAATAGTGATCTAACTTTTTTGTTCCTTTCTATTTAGGTTGGTGGACTCCCTCTAGCTGAGCTAAACCATCTCGAACTACAATTCCTTCTCCTCAACGACTTTCGGCTCTTTGTTCCTGTAGAAGATCTAGAAGCTTATGCCACGATGCTTGTCGAATTTTATGCCCGAGAAATAGTGGCCCAGAGGCAATCTGGGGACAAAGCAGAGTAGGAGGGCAGGTCTTCTCAGAGCGCAATCCTTATAACACGCACACAGACACACGCGCGCATATAATGCCAATCAACACCGGCAGGCATATCTCTTAGCTTATGCAGGTCGAGTAGGGAAGTTCTGGAATATGAATATCCTTTTATCAAAAATTGGCAGTTAAAGGCGGCAGACCGAGTGCGTCCATGTGCTGAAGCCGCCCGGGTCCGGATGATTTTTCTGGGTGGGGGTGCTAGGCGCTTGGAATACTATGTCTCCATTACATCGGCGCCGTAGATTCCGGCACCTCATTGCGCATCCCTATCGGCGTTACTTAGACTGGTTGGCGGGGGCGTTGGGGCATGGCATGAGACTTTTTTTCCAGGTCCCTCGTATTTCCCAGGCGCGGCGGATCTCGAGGCAGCTCCGCTTTGATGCTTCGATGGGGGGCGGCGTCGTTCTCTCAAATTAGACTATGTGGGAATGGGTGGGGCCAAACGGCTGAGTACTGATTATGCTGCGGGACAATTAGCTGGCGATCATTCGTCCACTAGAGAGGAGCCAAAATCTAGCTAAGATCTAAGGCGGGAGGTATCTTTGGCCCGCCGGACACATCGTGGCGAGTCCTTGTTTTCGGTTTTTCGACTTTGATACCCCGGGTACATGTGGTGTGAGGAACGGTGCACAACGGCGGGTCGGGTCGTGTGTAAGGAAGGGAAGGAAAGGGAAGGAAAGGGAAGGGAAAAGGATGGAAATTGGAATAGGGAGACGGATATCATCATACAACTCATACATGGGACTAAGGTGTTCTTCATCTTTTTTTTTTTTTTTTCAGCCCTTCTTCTTTTATTACTCTTCTTTTTTCTTCTATTTCTTTGCAGTTTCCTGGGTTAACGGACTGGGTTACACATGGGACATGTTTTTTTCTGGGAAAGGCGGGTGAGAGGAGGGCGTCACTTTAGATAAAATGACACATTCTGTTTTGGAGTCTTCGGACTGTGGCAGGAGGTTATGAGTGACCCTAGTTTGACTTTGTTTTGTGATGTCGTAGCTATGCGACTTGTTGTTTCAAGGGACCAGTATGAAGCGAGTGTTGGCGATTGATGACTCGTTTGGTTCATCTCAAGTTATGTATGCTGTGCGTTTGGTGTGTATGGAGCTGTATTTTCCAAGTATATATCGAAGATGCACTCATCCAGCCAACGCCACGGTGATGACTATATAAAATCAAATGCCAATATGCCATCCATCAAGACCCCCTCCCCGAACATGACCTCTCCCCAACTGCCCCAAAGACGCTCACGCCGGCGCCTTAATCTCCGTCGACGTCCCAACAATGGCCCTCCTCTCCTCCTCGGAAAGCCGAATGCCAAACCACTTCCTCAAAGCCTCGACGCGGGCCTCCTCAGACTCGAACTTCTCAATGACCACGTACTCGCCGTACTCGTCCTCGAACCCGGGCTTCAAACGGCGGAGTTTAACCTCGTCGTTGAAGAGAACGATCTGGCCTGCTCGCCTGGGCTCTTCCTCTCCCTCGGCAGATGACTTCGCTTCTTCCCCACCTATAGTTTTCGGAAGGGCCTCGTTGGAGAGGAACGTCCGTACGCAGATGACAGACTGGACGAAGAAGGACGCGGGCGAGGTCATTGTCATAAGATTCATAACCCTATAATCCTCCTCGTGGAACTCGATAGCCGAAAAGGTATAGCCCGGGATCCAAGGGTCGGATTCGCGCGCGCGATGGTGGTAGATCCAGACGGGAGGGGATAAGGGGTGGGAGGTGGAGAGGAGGGGCTGCTGGGTGAGTTTGCGGTTGAGGACGGTGGAGGTCGGATGGGGTGTTAGAGGGGTGGGTGAGGAGAGGGGCACGGGAGGGAAGGGGACTGGGAAGGGGGGTGTGTTGAGGCCGAAGCCTACGTCTATGTGGTAGTGGGTTGAGTTGAGGGTTACGATGTTGGCCATGTGGCTCCTAAGTTTCATGTTAGTTGTTGAGGGTTGGGAAGAAATAGAGATATATACAGGGAAGGGCAACAGGAAGCGTGTGTCTTACCAGCCGGAGAAGCCTTCGCCAGATTTCCCTGTCGTCGCAAAGCTCACCCTCCCACCCACAGAAAGAACATCATACCCCAACCCGCGCAGAACGCCGCCCAAAAAAGTGTTCACTTCCATACAATATCCACCCCGGTGGTCTCCGTCATCGGCGGCATCATCGCCACTTCCGGGACGGACGATCTTGCGGAAGAGATCGTCCGGGTCGACGGAGAGTTTACGGGTCGGGGAGTAGTGCAGGGAGATGGACTCGAAGGGGACGGCGGCGAGGTGGTGGTCTACGAGGCGGTTGAGGTTGGCGAGGGTTGGTTCGGGGAGGGAGGTAGGAGAGAAGGGGGGAGGGAAGGAGATGTGGGTTAGGTAGGAGGCGATTTGGGAGGGGGTATAGGTGGCCATGTTCGCCTTTCTGTTTCGTTCTTATCTTATCCTCTTCCCTTTTCTCTTTTTTTTTCTTCTGTATTGGGGAAGTCTTGGGGAGTAAGAAACGAAGGGAGAAGAAATGAATCGGAGGAGAGGGGGGACGTGGTAGTTACAGAAGAATGTATGTAAATATATATACAGGTGGAAGAAGAAAAAGAGGGCGTGCCAGAATCTATGACGAATCTGTGTAGGTCTGCACGATGTCGCTCCGCCCGTTTCAAGAGGGAGGAAGGACCAAGACGGTTTCTCGGATCAATTCGTATTACGCACGAGGTCAATTCATTGTGCTTCTCAAATATATCAAATGTCGGCAAAACGGTTTCAAATTCCAAAAAATGTGAATTATTAATCTGTGGGGGAGGAACCTTTTCGAATCCATCTATCAAAAATGCTTCATTAAGGTGTAGTGGCTTGGGGCATATGACTAGCGATGATTCGGCTAAGGCTGCTTTCGGAGAGCCAAGTCGGGGAGATTGCGGGCTTTTGGGGCTTCGGTCTTACATTGATGATTTTTTTTTCTTTTCTTCTGGATTTCTTCTTTCGCCTTCTCCCAATCGAGATTCGTGCATTTTTAGCTAATAGGCAGCAGCCGCATAGCAGCCGCATAAGGTGCGGCTGACCGGCGGCTGTGGGATTTGAAAGTTAGGGTATCGTACCCGCGGACGGGAGATGACGTTAGCGCTGAGCCGCCAGACATAGTTTCGGGCGAGCCGGGCGTCGGAAGGACCCTGCCGGCTGATGGACGGGCTGGTCGGGGCTGATGAGGCTGATGGGGGTTATGACTTACCGGGGATCGTTCGGTGGCTAATCCGGGGTTTGACTTATGTCGTCCTAGATTTGATGTATTACACTTCGGCCATTACGTGCTTTTAGGTTGGCGAGATTGGGTGAGAGGATCTTAATGGGCCGCAAGCACTTCCACGTTCGGGTTTTGTTTTTAAACTGAGCAACGACATCCTCTTCGTCCCAGCAGGCCTTGAGTATCCTATACATCGGCTGGAAACGCACACTAGCCTGGCATAGTAGCCGTTTATATATTGATCTATGCATTAGCTATGCTATAATAGAAATATAATGCCTCTATAGAGGAAGAGTAGAGGTTGCTTAACTTTAAAGCACGACGTCTTGTCGGAAGAAGTCTGTGGCGGTCCTCGGCCAGAATACCCGCTTCCAAGAGTCTCTCTCTTGAAAACCACAACTGTCGGCTGAGTCTGTGATATAAAACTAGACACATCCCGCCAAACCAGCTATCTGGACCGGCGTCAATGCAAGTGCCGGTCAACATTCACCGTCAACTGCGTTTCTTCGGATGAAAACCAGAATTCCAACGCTCCACGCATCGGGAAACAAGTCCAGTCCTGTCCACCCTCATCCCGCTTATGCTCACACTCATCCCTCTCCGAGATCCGTACGTTCGTGGCCCGAGGCCTCAGCTGTGCTCCGCCCTCAGGATACCGCCGTCGCAGCAGGCAAATGCGCGCAGGTTTCCTGTAAGATGTGACTGGATCGACGCCTATCCGGCACTGGCCGAGCGACCGCTGCCCACCGTTCTCGTATTCAAGCAACATTCCCACGCAGAACCCCATTTGTTCGTGATAGAAAACGCTAACACGATGGACATTATCGAGGCTGGCTACGGAGAAACATGAGTTTCCGATTGGAGGATCTTTAGTGAAAGAGCGAAACTCTGGGTCCATCGGTAGGTCGTAGGGCGGTTCGCTATAAGCACCGATGACAGAGATGGGTAGTAGGTCTTCGGCTACGTCGTGAATAAGGCTTACTGGTGAAGCTTTCATCCGGAATTCGAACGTTGCTCCACCCCATATTGGAGCTCGGTGGACGATGACATCACCAGCGAGCTTCAATTGGAACTGGCGCTCTGTTAAATTAGACCTGTCAAGACGGGATGGCCTGAAACTATTAAAAAATAAACTCACAAGTAAGCCGACCGCGCTTCCTAATGGTGCTTTCCAAACGCCAAAGAACAGAGTCCCTTGCGGGTTTGGGATGTATATCCAGACCGCGGACCGCTGGAGTTCAGGGGACAGTTGAGAAATTGATGGTTTGGTGCATGGAGAAAGAGGAGTATGGGCGTGGATGGCGTAGATTTCAACATGGTGAAAAATAAGTGTAATCGCGGTTATCTTGCGCGGCTCGATGGTCCGGAACCGCATTGGGCTGGTGAGATGAGTGGGCCAAGGGAGACATTTCTCCAGGTCGGGAGGCGAAGAGGTGTCCCAGAAGTGAAGCCCACGGACTGTTGTGAGCAACTCTAAACGGGCAAGTCGAAACTTGAAAAAAAGAAGAAAAAGAAAAAAAAAGTTAGAGAACATTCATAGTTTGGCAGATAGCAAGGCCTACTTTAAAGTGTACCGCGATACCTTGGATCTTGTCGGCATCAAGGATGAGGAACGCGAGGCGGCCGGTGCATTGAAGCTTATAGGCCGGTCTTGGAGCCAGCCTCTCGATCTGCCTGATGCCCCATCAAAGGTGAAGAGGTCCATCCAACCCTGTTCAATACAAGTTGTCACCAACGCCTCTGGGATTGGATTCTCCTCTAGAGTCAGGAGGTAAGCCAACCACTCAAATCGATGGGGTTTGCGCTTCCCCGAAAGAGTTCTGAATGTGCGATTGTACAGTTTACCCTGGGAATTCGCCGCCTCCCTCGAATTGAGGGATAGGGCGTCGAGGATTTGGCGAATCTCTTCTCCCCGGAAATTCTCCCAGAGATGCACGGGTTACCCGACGATATATTTGGTGAGATACCGCGTGGCGGCCTCCACTGACTTCGGCGGCTTCGGGGCGGCTTCGGGGCGGCTGCGCCTTCGGCGTCTGGTGTCTCTCGATCCATGGTTTCAATCGTTCTGTCGGTGTCTCGACTCGTAGAAATCTTGGAATGCTGGGTGTTAGGAAGAGTAGAAGGGGAAATAGGATAAGGAGCAGGTTGAAAACCAGAAGTCAAGAAAAGTTAATCCTATTCTTATTGAGGGAGGTAGCAAAGGGCAGCAGGAAAGGGAAGGAGCCGCGCGAGTCAATCGTCAACTGCATGATGCGGAGTTCACTGGAAGCACGTTCCGTGATTTTTGGACGATGTCCACGTTCCCAAGCCGCAACGCGCCGTAAAGGAACCGAGAGTTCGTCTACTGGGGCGATGCGTAGGAGTCGAGCTGCGTCGAGAGCTGCGCTACACCGCCAGAACCAGCTTCCTGACAAATACCCCTGGATCACACCGAATATTTCGAGCGGGAGGTCATTCAGCCTCCCTAGGGCAAGGGCAGATGCTAATGAGGGATCTGGCCTAATATCCCCTACCTCGAGGCGGAGATTGGGAGCCCGCTGCGACGGAGTCCACCAGGATGTAGCAGCCCACAAGCGTTCCTGATCTAACCGGTCTTCAACAACCTCGAGACACTCGGAATGGACAGTTGATGATTCATGAGACAATTCAGCCGACGTGGCACACATGCCACAACCCGATTGCCGACAAAGGAGCATTCCGTCTACGATCTGGTCACCTGGCGTATAGTCAGGGAACTTGAACGTTGATGTGCGGCGCAATGAGGGCGCAGAGCCCGTGTTTCTCAGTAGCACTTGGCTAATAAGTTAGAATAAGAAAGATTTTCCTTTCTGGAAGGAGTGAAGGGGGGAGAACTTGCGGATAACACATGGTTCATCGAGGTTGATTGAGCTGCCGCAGAGGCCGCAGTGCGGGCGGGGTCTAACATGAGGATAACACTAGCAGGAGGCTTTCTGGGTGGTCATGATGGAGCAGGGAAGGGGAGAATCACACTACGATCTGGTCCGAAACGACCTGGTCGAAGAGCGGTTTATTCAGTGGGCCAAGGAGAGAAGAAAATTGGAATGTAATAGGTCCGACGGGGCAAGTTGATGTGGGTGAATAGCTCATTAGAGGGGTTGGCCGGTGTTACAGCACAGGGATCTCAAGTCGGTCATCGGCGGACCGGGGTTTGAAGATTAGGGCGGGCTGAGCCAGGGCGTGATTCTCCGACCCTGGCTTCGGGATAGACCAGTGGATTTGGGGGGTTCATCGGAGAGGTCATTAGGCCACGGGCGGTGAATCCGGGGGTTTGGCGGGGTCTTGGGTGTTAATCAACTTCAGTATTAATGTCCAGCCAAGGCCGGGTTTGCGTGAGACTGGCAGAACCCGACGAGTACGAGGCGGATGAGTGGATCTTAGTGGACGGCTCCATCAATGAGTTATTACATTGTACTACCAAGAGGAGGCGGGCTGTGAAAACGACTGATCCGCCAATGTCTGACGTCTGTCCATCGTCCCTTGCCTGTCCGTGTCCCTGAATTGGGACAGGGCGGATCCCAGGTGCCGATTGAGTAGGGCGGGCAGGGATGGAAAGTGAGCATGTAAACCCTGGACCAGCGTGTCATTGCACACCTACAGGGAATACGGGGGAAGCGCTGTGCGCTCTTCTGCGACCACTTGCAAGTTGGAATGGAACCAGTTCTCCTCGTTTTGGTACCTTGGCAATGGCGGGCGGACCACCTCGGGATCGAGTACCGCAGAGGGCACGATACGAAATACGAACCACCACTACCAGTAGACGGCCTCATTTTGAGGAATATCCTGATATCTCGAGCTCAACTCGGGTCATACTCGACGCGAGAGATGGGGAAATGAAATAGAGAAATAAACGGGTATATAAGAGCTTGCTTCTTCCTCTTGAGACGGATAACTTTGTCTTTTTATTCTTGTCCCATTTCTTTCCATCATTGTAGTCTTTACTTCTTGAGAATCCTGATATCCACATTGACATCAATTGACTTATATCACTTACACCCTGCTCTGGCAACACACACGACATAAGCCAGCATTGAAACTTGACTATATATAACTCATCTCAACGTCTCTCTTCAACTTCCAACATGAGCTTCTCAGCCGGGCAAAAAGACTCTGAAAAGCGTCTCGGCGACGCCACCGATATCCCCCCTTCCCTCTCCGACCTCCACTGCTTTACCGAGACTGACGGCGTCATCACAACAAGTGAGACCAACCCTCAACCCCTCTCTAACAACGCATTACCCCTTTTCCTTAATTATTGTATTTATTTTCTTATTTTCTATACTAACCCTCTCCCAGCCATGTTCGACATCACAGGCTACCGCATCGTCAAAGTCCTCGGCGCAGTCTACGGCCTCACCGTCCGCTCCCGCAACTGGGCCGCCTCCTTCGGCATGGTCCTCAAGTCCGTCGCCGGCGGCGAGCTCCGCTGGTTCACCTCCATGCTGTACAGCTGCCGGAACGACGCCATCAGCCGCGTCGTCGCCGAGACCAAGGCCCGCGGCGGAAACGCCGTCATCTGTTTGAGGTTCGACGCTGGTGATTTGGGCGGGTTTGCGCAGGTTTGCGCATATGGGACGGCGTGTTTGGTGGAGAAGATTGATGAGAGTGCCGCTGAGGTGCCGCAGCTTGCGAAGTAGGGTTGGCAGCTTTCGTTTTTCTTTTTTGGGGTTTTCAGGCGCTGGGTTTTGGTTTGGGAAAGGGCAGGGAAAGAGTTGAAGTTGTAAATTCCAAGGCCATAATGAAATCCTTCATGTTGAGATAGTATTGTGCACTGATTTTTCGGTGGTATTCGCGACATCGCAGACTAAATAACCCGACATCTCCAGCCTAATCTGAAGCCGGCATCCGGGCCCACAGTTCATCTAATCTTTCTCAATGCGAACGATGATCTTCCCAGCGCTGGACCCCTTCTTCAAATGCTCAAAAGCCTGCTGCACCTCCCCGAAATCATACACCGAATCAACCACGGTATCCAACTTCCCCTCCGAGAACCAAGCCGCAAGCTGAGACAAGTCCTTCCGGCTATTCTTCGTCAAATACGTCGAAAACTTACGCTTCCCACCGCCTAGAAACCCGGGAAGAAGTCGATTCTTGAGCAGAGACGCAACGCTGCTCGCCGACATGGACCCGCCCACGAAGACGAAGTTGCCGTCGGGTAATAGAAAATCGTGGCTCCGGCCGTACAGGTTCGGCGGCGAGTTGCCGACGTTGTCGACCGCGAGGCTGAAGACCTTCCCCCCTTCGGCGAGCTTGGCGATGACGTCCGTCGTTTTATAGTCGATTATTTCGTCGGCGCCGAGATTGCGGCAGAGGTCGGCTTTGCCCGTCGAGCAGGTAACGGTTACATGACAGTCTAGAATCTTGGCAATTTGGATACCGTACGACCCAACGCCCCCGGAGCCACCATTCAGAAAAACGCGGTCCCCCTTCTTGACATACGGAGCTATGGTTTGATACGCCGTCAAAGCAGCAGTCGGCGCCCCAGCGGCCTTGTCGAGATCAAACGTCGCCGGCAGAGAAGCATACGCCTCCCTCTCCACAACGACATACTCCGAAAGCGCCCCCTGCGAACCGAAGGGGTCCACGCGCGCGAGAACAACGTCGCCGATCTTGGTGTCCTCGACTTCCGGGCCTACGGCGACTACGCGACCACTGAGGTCCATACCAAGGGGTTTGGGGTACGAGAAAAGGGCTTTGGTGACGAAACCGAGTTCGGGGGCTTTGTAGTCGGCAGGGTTGAGGCTTGCGCGGGCGACTTTGACGAGGACTTCGCCGGGTTGGAGGGCGTCCGGGGAAGGTTTGGGGATGGTGTTGAGGGTGAGGGTGGTGGCGACGGGGCCGGGGCCGGAGAGTTGCCAGGATTGCATGGATTGGGCCATCGCGATGACTTGGTGTGAGGGAATTGATGGATTAATTGGGAATAGATTGGGAGGAGATTTGTGCTGTATGTTGAGGCTGGTTGAGGCTAGCGAGAAGATGATGGAAAGTTGATAGGTTTGATGGGCAGGGCGAATTACCTCCCTTCATATAGATCAGGTATAAGTCCAAGTTATTGACGTCAGCCATCCGACAGGAACACACTCTTTTCCCTCAGATGTTATAAACAATCAAGCCACCCATCTTCGTTACGTCCAATGGGGAGAATAAATATCCTGTTCTTTGTACCACGGCCAATGGCGCGATCGGGCGGGGTTTCGTCCGTGTGTGTGCCTCGCAGGGTCCGGGATTGGTGATGGGTCTTCCGGATCCCGACCTGGGAACTGATTTTGGTTTCGGATCATGGATTTTAGGATGATGAGAATTGAGTTCGGGTCTCGCTATATTCTGTTGATGTTTATAAAGTTCCGGTCTTTTTGGATATTTATTTATTCTTGTTTTTCTTTTCCTTCGCAAGCTGTTGGAAATGAAGCCATCATGATCGCTGAGAAACTCCAGAAGCTGAGGTTTGAGCTGAAGGGTTGGAAGCGCCGGCTGTTGACAGGTGGTACCTTCATCAGCTCCTGAGTTGCTTGCGCTATCGTGTCGTGCTTGTCTAATTACATGGTACCTTTGATGCTTGACTATTCCCTGGCTTCGACTGACTCGTGCCCATCTCCAACTCGCGTGAGGACCAGCCCGATATCAATTACCGTATAATTGATGGGCGAATCCATCTCGGCTAGCCTGTCGACATAGCCACATATCTTTTCTTGTATTTTACCGGAGTGCACCGAGATACGGCCTTTGCTTCGAGCTCCTTTAGATCCCAACCGTCCTTCACGATCTCTCCCACATCGGGCATAGTCTCTCCCCTGGTCCGTACATGGCTATCGCGTGAACAGACGGTAGCTCTCCCATTCTTGCCAGGCAGACTCTCGCACCACCGCTCCCGCCCATCACGATGGCTCCTCGAGACTCTCCTCCGAGTTCAACCTCGAAGCTCGAAGACCCCTACGACAGCAGATCCTCCGAAGAGACCCTCTCCTCCGTCTCCACCACCAGCCTCGTCTTCGAGCGAATCGAGCAGCGCCTCAACGAAAAGCTAGCCTACGAGGCCGCCTCCCGCCGACCCTACGACGACGACCCTCTCAGGGACGACCCGCAAGATGACGATCCCGACGGCGATCTCGAGACGGCGCGATTCCTCGCACCTGGAGCCCGTATCCAGACCCGTGGGATGGACAAACGGTGGTGTAGGGCCATTGGCGCGCTTGCCGCTATTCTGACGACGGCGTGGTTCGTGGCCCTGTTCGCCTTCCTCTCGGCGGGACGGTCCAAGGCCGCCGGTGCTGGGGTTATCGAACCTGATGGTGCCGCGATTGGCCTTAAGCCGGCGACCGGTAACCCCGTCACGTTGGAGCAGGTGCTGGGATACGAATGGGCCCCTGCGAGCCACTCTATTAGCTGGGTTCCCGGGCCCGACAACGAGGATGGATTACTGCTTCAGCAGGGCGCTGCTGGCAAGGACTACCTCGTCGTCGAGGACATTCGTACCTTGAAGGGCGGCGACGATTCTGTCAAGGATTCTACCAAGGCCGAAGATCCGTCTATTGCCGCCAGCCGCACGCTCATCAAGTCCTCTTCTCTAAAGTACGGCGACGACTTCATCCACCCCGAAAAAGTCTGGCCGAGCCGCAACCTGAAAAAGGTCCTCATCGCCACCAGGACCAAAAGCGTCTGGCGCCATTCCTTCTCCGCCGTATACTATATCCTCGACGTCGAGACCCAGGAGCTCGAACCCCTCGACCCCCTCGACGTCACCTCCGTCGTGCGCTTCGCCATCTGGAGCCCCCAGAGCGACGCCATCGCCTTCACCAAGGACAACAACTTGTACCTCCGGACCCTCGACGCGCGCGGCAGCAACAAGAAGGTCCGCCAGATCACCCGCGATGGAGGCCCCAACGTGTTTTACGGCATCCCCGACTGGGTGTTCGAGGAGGAGATCTTCGGTAGCAACCAGGGGACGTGGTGGTCCGACGACGGCAAGTTCATCGCCGTTTTCCGCGCAAACGAGACGGAGGTGCCCGAGTATCCTGTCGATTTCTTCATCGAGCCTCCTGTAGACCAGAAGAGCGAAGATGATATGTTGTATCCAAAGACGGAGTGGCTCAAGTATCCCAAGGCCGGGGCGCCGAATCCAGTCGTAGACGTGCAGTTCTATGACGTCGACGCCTCTGAGGTGTTTACCGTCAATGTGGACGGCGGGTTCGACGAGGCGGACAGGCTCGTTACGAACGTGCTCTGGGCCGGCGACAAGGTCATCATCAAGGAGACGAACAGGATCAGCGACGTCCTCCGAGTCGTGCTCATCGATCCGAAAGCGCGCGCGGGCAAGACGGTGAGGACGGTGGACGTCAAGGATATCGACGGCGGTTGGTTCGAGAGATCCGAGCCCAAGTATATCCCCGCTGATCCCGCCAACGGCCGACCCGAGGCCGGATACGTTGACACCGTTCTCGCCGGTTTCGGGGACCACCTCGCCTACTTTACTCCGCTGGATAACCCGGAGCCCAAGATCCTCACCTCGGGAGACTGGGAAGTTGTCAACGCGCCCTCTGCTATCGATCTTGCGAATAACCTCGTCTACTTCGTCTCGACGAAGGAATCCTCCATCCAACGCCACGTCTACAGCGTCAAGCTCGACGGAACGGACCTCACGCCCGTGACGAACGTCACCGAGGAAGCATACTACGGCGTCTCCTTCTCCAGCGGCGCCGGCTACGCACTCCTCAATTACCAAGGCCCCTCCGTCCCCTGGCACAAGGTCGTCAGCACGCCCAGCAATAACCCCGACGACCCGCCTTACGAACACGTCCTCGAGACGAACGAGAAGCTAAGGCGCATGGTCAAGACGTACGACGTCCCCGCCCTGCGCTACGGAACTGTCGAAGTCGACGGCGTGCACCTCAACTACGTCGAGCGTCTGCCGCCCAATTTCAACCCCGCACGAAAGTACCCCGTGCTCTTCTTCCAGTATTCCGGCCCCGGGTCGCAACAGGTCAACAAGCGCTTCTCAGTGAACTACCAATCCTTCGTCGCCTCTTCCCTGGGCTACGTCGTCGTCACGGTCGACGGCCGCGGGACGGGCTTCATAGGCCGCAAGGCCCGCGTGCTCATCCGCGGGAACCTCGGGCGGTGGGAATCCCACGACCAGATCGCCGCGGGGAAACATTGGGCGGCCAAACCCTACATCGACCCGTCCCGCCTCGCCATCTGGGGCTGGTCCTTTGGCGGGTTCAACACCCTCAAGACCCTCGAAGTCGACGCGGGCGAGACCTTTTCTTACGGCGTGGCAGTCGCCCCCGTCACGGACTGGCGGCTCTACGACTCCATCTATACGGAGCGGTACATGCGCACGCCCCAGGAGAACCCCGAGGGTTACGCAGCAACGGCCATTTCCAACGCGTCGGCGCTTGCCGGTCCCACGGACGGTAGCGGCGGGATCGTGAGGTTCATGATCATGCACGGGACGGCGGACGATAACGTCCATGTGCAGAATACACTCAAGTTGCTGGATGAGTTGGATTTGGCGGGGGCGAGGAATTATGATGTGCACGTTTACCCGGATAGCAATCATGGGATTTATTTCCACAAGGCGAATTCGGCGTTATATCATCGTGGGTTTCCATTTTCTTTACTTCTTCGCCTCCTTCTTTTTCTTTTCTACCCCCCGAGATTGAAGATCACCTGCTAACGCGCTCTCACAGGCCTAACGGACTGGCTCATCAACGCCTTCAATGGCGAGTGGGTTCGTCTTCGGAATCCCAAGCCAAAGCAAGAGGCGAAGAAAAGGAAGATAGAGAGAGACGAGGTGAAGAACTAGTTCTCGAAGCGGCGGGAAAAGAGCTGTAAGAACTACGATTTGTGTTATAAGCCTTAGGCTATCAGGTTTGGGAGTTGGGAGTTTTTTTGCTGGAGCCTTGTTTTTTAATTTTTCTTTTCAGTATATTAGTGCATTGGACTCTCGCCTTTATTGGAAATTCTTTGGCGGCGTCGTCGTGTAGCATTCTTTTTGGGGAACTTCAATGTTAGACTTGACGTTGGAGTATTCCGCCTCGTACTTTGTTAACCCAACATGTTGCCTCCCTTTCGGTTGGACTTGAATCTTCCAAGTTCACGCTTGTTCCAGGGCTTTTGAAGGCTGCAACTGCACCTCGACGGAAGTAGTGATAAGGCATGTCCAGTCAATTAAATATGGTAATCATACAAGAACACGCCTTGGAATTAAGAGTAATACTCCCTCCCCTGAACCAGACAGACGGGAAGGGAAGGGAATGAAACATTCTTTCCTCAGCCCGAGGACCCTTCCATCAATGAAGGCCACGAATAAAGGACACATTATGAAGGTAAGGTGGTAAGGTGGCAAAAAGCAGATATTGAAGGAACTAGGGCACGTCATATTACATCAAGGGAGGGAAGAAGCAATAAACAAATGCACAGTACAGAAAACAGCCAAGTCCTGCTCCATCCTCCTCTTTCTCAAGAGAGAATCAAACAGTAACAGCAAGGTTCATAAGAACATGTTTGGAAAAATAAGGAAATAAGTAAGACCTCTTTACCATCCCTTGCGTATGTCTGGGTTGCGCATCCTGAGATATCCCCCATTCTTTTGCAATTCATTTTTTACAACCCTCCATGTGCCTCATGAGAAGAAAAAATACACTTGAAACTCAATAAAAGAAAAAGAGAAACCACTATGCTCCATGCTGTATCCCATTCTCTGCTAACCCGCCGGACAATGGCATGCCCCTGCCCCCTGGAAAGAGGCAGGTGGCTGTGCATAGTTGACGGGATAGGTTGCCGGCGGTGTCACTTGTCGATGACGGGGGTAAAGATAATATTGGTACATTGGATAAGGGGATAACGCAGAGGCTGCGCCCCACCCTGGCGGCACAATCCCCTAGTACCCAAAACCAGTTGGTTGCGGCGCAAACCCGTTGGTCTGCTGGAAAGGTACTGGGGACGCCGAGGGTTGTCCCATGGCTCCAGTGGGGCCGGCCGTGATCATGAGTCGACCGGTGCCGAGGATGGGGGCGTTGCTCTCGTCCTTCTCCTGCTCCTTCTCTTTGGCCTTTCGGGCTTCGTTGTCAGCCTTGAGAAGAGAGAGCTCCTTGGTTTGCTGGCTAAGCATGTTGATCATGTACGGCATGGTGAAATCGTTGAGGCCATTGCGCCAAGAAAGCTCGAGGATGAGGTCAGGTCGCAAGAGATCGTAGCAGGCGTAGAGCATGCCGACATAGCATTCTCGGCTACCGATATCAACGAACTATAGACAAAAGGGGGTTAGTCGCGGGCTTTGTTTTCAAGACACAGATGATCGCACTTACGTATCGGATCAACTCCTCGACAACTTCGGCCTTGCCGGAAATGGCCGCCGTCTCGATGGCATCCTTGAAAAGCTTGTCCTGCTTGGACAGCGTGATCGATTTCTCCCATCGCTTGTTCTTGCGGTAGATGTTAGCTGCAATCTGGCGGAAGAAGATGAGATCGTGCTTCTCGAGTCGCGAGGCAAGGGCCACGGCATCGTAGTTGTCGTAGTTCTCAACAGAGTCACGAAGCGTCTTGTAGTCCTCCTCCTCGATGAGCAAGTCGTTGATGGCGTCGTTGACGGTACGCTTGTTCTGAGACTGCACGTTGAGCAGGAAAGGCTTGATCAGAGGCAAGTCGTCGTTCTTCTGGAACATCTTGACGACTCGGTTGACGTCAATACGCGCCGTGAGGGACTGGAGGAGGTCGGTGAGGAGCGAGGGGTGTTGTTCGAGATAGAATCGGATGGCACGGTAGTAGATTTCAAGGTTGGCAACCTTGACGACAATCTCCTTGAACTGCTGATGCTCCCACGAGTTCTCAGGGTGCTCAATGACGGCGAGAGCGGCGTTGTCGAACTCGTCGTAGTGGTAGTAGCAAAAGACCAACTCGGGCCAGAGGTTGGCTTCCTCGCACGCGCGAATCAACTTGGGCATGTTGACGCGGCTCCAGAAGAGCTTGAGGTGCTCCATAAGCTTCTCGGGGTGGTACTTGGACAATGCGATGCCGAGTTCCGTGAACATACCCATGTGCGCACGCTCAAGGCCGAGACCCTGCTCGAGAAGGTTGATAAGCTCATCGAAGTATCCGTTGAACTCGTACTGCTTGACGAGGGCCTGAAGCTGCTCGGCGTCAACGATGAGGTTGAGACCGCAGATCTGCGCAAGTCGGAACTCCTTCTTGCCGACGCACGCCTCGTGGACCTCCTTCCACACCTTGATGTTGTTCGCCTTCCTGGCGCACTCGACGGCCGCCTGGTAATCGTCGAGGTGAACAAGGGTGGTGGCCAGCTTCGCCCAGTTGGAGATGCTGCTGAAGAAAATCTTGGCCGCCTGGAAGTAGCCCTCAGCATAGGCCTTGTCACCCGACTCCTCGATGTTGGCCACGTTAGTGCCTCGGAGGAAGTCCTCTAGCTCGATGAGCTGGTCGAGTCTGGCATAGCAGAAGGCAAGGGCCGTGTCGATGGCGGGCTCGCGCAACGTCTTGCGGGCCATTCGGAGGAACTTGATGAGGTCCGCATCCTTGCCGGCACGCACGGCAATCTCGATGACCTCCTCGTAGTTCTTGGGGTCCTCGGCCTTGATGTACGACTCGATGGCGTCGCTCACGCGGAGGCCGTCAAGTTGGGCCTTGGCGACGGTGCTCCAGACCTCGGCCAAGTCAACTTCCTCGGCGAAAGCCTGGGCGCGGTCGATACTAACGACATTATCGACAAGGACCTTGACGGCGCCCGAGTTATCGCCCGTCTTCTTGAAAATCTCAAACGCCTCCTCGTAAAGGCCGACGTCAATACACGCCGACGCGATATCCGGGGCGCTGAAGCCGTCCAGACGGTGAATGTAGTCCATCACACGACCCTTGTCAGCCTTGGCAGCAGTGAACATGAGAAGGTTCTGCAGGTTCTGGTTGTCGCTGAAGGGCGAAGGTTCCAAGACAATCTTCTCCAAGAGCTCGATAAGCTCGAGAGGCAAGTCAGCGGCGAGGAACGCGGCAACCGCTTCCGACACCTTGGCGGGATCGGTGGATTCAGGCACGGCAGTCGAGATGACCTGGTCGACGACGGAGCGGCGATGAATGTTATTCTCGCTGAGGACGAACATCCAAAGCTCGCGGTCGGAACGATCGAGCAAGTATCGCGCTTGGGCACGGTACATGGAGTTCTCGTTGGTAACATTGACGAGCTCGAGGTCGTTTTGACCCTTGGAGTAGGCGATATAGGCGAGATTAGGATCGCGCTTCTCGCAGTACTTGCCGACAACGAGAGAATCGTACTGGTCGTTCTCCTTGAGGAACTTCTCGGGGTTATTGTTGGAGTCAATGTAAATCTTGGCTAGAGCATTGAAGACGGCCTGCTGCTGGTTTCCCGCGGCGAGGGTGGCCTCGAGGAACGGCAAGAGAATCTTCAAGCGGTTGCGGGTCTCAACCTCAGAGACGAGCTCATCGATGGGGACCAAAGAAGGATCGACGGTTGCGAGGAGCTTCTTGATAATGTCCTCCTCGCAGTCCACGTCGAGCAGGCCACCAATGACGGCGGGGGTCCTAGCAGGATTGACACGCTGGACGTACGACTCGATGGCGTGGAACTGCTTATTCTGGTACAAGAAGAGGACGAGATCATGAACGAAGTTGAAGCGATCACACACTATGATGAGGGGAAGCTGCTCAGGAAGCTTGGCCTCCTTGAGGAAGTTCTTCACCTTTTCAGGGTTGTAAAAGTTGCTGTCCCTACAGATGCGTTCGACTTCGTTGAACTGGCCCAACTTGGTGGCTGCCTCGATGTACTTGAAGTGGACGTCGGGATCCTCGGAGAGGTTTACGATGCTGCCCAGGTAGTAGAAGAGACCCTCGGCCGTCTTGTACTTCTCGAACAGATCGATGAGGCGGACGGGGCCGAGGAGATCAGAATACTTAGTGGCAATCTGGACAACGGCCTGGAGATTCTGGCGAATGTTGTGCTTGATCATGGCGTCGAGGCAGTCGAGGGACTGCTCGACAGACAAACGGCCGAAGAAACCGGTAAGCCAGTCAAGGTTGAAGTTGGGAAGGCCGGCAATGCCGACAATGACGCGCTTGATAGCGGCGGGATCCTCGTAGAGCTCGAGAGCCTTTTGGGCAAGACCAGCCTGTTCGCACAGGGTGGCGATGCGAGCCTTGTCAAAGTGAGAAAACATGTCATTGCCCAGAATGGCGTCGGCTACCTGGGGCGCGTTCAAAAGATTCATCTCAAGCAGACGAGTCTGCAGGTGGCCCTGCTCCGGCTTGTTCTCCTTAAGCGCATCAAGCAGGAATGCAGTGGCTTGCTGGATCATGCCTTGGGACTGGAAAATATCCACGACGCGCTCGATGTCCACAAGCGAGCCTCCCTCGTTGTTGGCAAGAGAAGTAGCGAACTCGGCGCCCTTCTCGGGGTTGACGCGAACGATGTGCTGGAGAAGCTGCACAAAATCGGGCTTGTAACCTGTTTGGGCAGAGTAGGGGAGGATCTTGTCGAACTGCCCTGTCTCGGCGAACCCCGCGACGACCTTGTGTGGGACGTTCGCCTTGAGGTAAATAGCGAGCGCCATGTTCAGGTCGTGGGTTCGGACCATATCGCCGAGCTGTTCAGAGCAATCCAGCTTGTCCTCCTTGAGCCACTTCTCCAGTAGGTTCTTGCGATTCTGTGCGAGGACTGGTTGAGCTAGCTCGAGGGTCTCAAACCTATTAAGCGCACCCTTATCGAGAATGAGCCCAAAGTACTGTAGAATCCATGTCATTTGGCCGGGCTGAGCCGGGATACGCTTGAACTTGTCAATAGTCTGGGGCGAACGGAGGAAGCCTCGAGGAGAGTTGGCCGCGATCTTGGCAGCCTCCATGTATTGGCCGGCGGCGAATAGTTGCTCAAATTGCCTGGCATAAAGATCGTCGGCACCGGGGAGTCCGCCACGCGAGGCCAGCTTGACAGCCATATCAGCGTTGGCCGGGTTCTGGAGGAGGTAGGGAATCATATTGTTCTCGTCAATCGTCACGAACAGGACCTGGCCCTTGCGGTTGATACCCACGATGCCACTGCTAGCGCTGTCGGGGCACGTCGTAAAGATGGTCTCGCTCGAGATACGGTTCATGAAAATGCAAGTTCCGGACTCGAGGTCGTAAAGGTGAATGAATCCATACTTGGTGACAAGGTAGATGATGCCGTACTTTTGCGAGATTTGGAGGGCTACTGGGAAATCGTTTGTGGCCTCGGCGGGGAAATAGATGTCTACAGCCTTCTTCTGGTAAACTGGATTGGCCTCGGGGTGATCGACCTCGACGATGTGAAGCTTGGCGATACCGGACTCGTTGCGCACGGCAAAGGCAAAGACCTTGGTATCTTGAGACGCGCCCTCCAGACGAAGTGTACCAAAGCCAGCGGCATGGCCTTCGATAGCCTGGCTAATGCCCCGGTCCCTGGAATAAAGTTGCATGTCACCGCGAACACGGCCCTGTTTTTGGGAGATACCGACGGTGACCGACCACTTGCCATCGGCGCTCGAGCGATAGTTAATCACTTGACAGCCCTAGAAAGAAGACGAAAAGAAAGGCATTAGTACGGCAAACGAAAAACACTGATGGTCTTTGTCGTCCTGGGAGATGACCCGCTGAGCAAACTCCACCGGTGGCGCCCCCAAACAGCCTTGCCCCCCCCCCCCCCCCCCCCCTTTTTTTACGATTGCAAACTTACCGTCAAGCAAGCGTGGCGGGCAAAAACCTTCACCGGAGAAGCTTGCGTGGGATCATTAATGTCCCAGTGGTACACGCTAGAATCGGTGACGAGGCCGAGAGTCTTTTCGTCAATCCATTTCCAGAACTCGACATCTTCGTTCATCGTGGTAGCTTTGAGCTTCGTTTTTGCGCCAAGATCGAAAACCTGCAGAGTCCTAGACTGGGCCTTGAGGGCAATGATTTGTTTGTTCCAGTGCATGATGGCACTGTCAGCCTTGATGGGGCGTCTCATAACATTGTTTCCGTTCTTTAGGTCAACGATGACGACCTCAGGTTGGGCACCCTTCTTCTCTTGGACGCATACGAAGGAATCTGATTCGAGTGTCTATGCACGGCCGTTAGCAAGCTCCGATAAGCTTCAGGAAGTATGGGGATAAAAGGATGGAGGCATGTATGGAAGCGGGATGCAGCAAGTCGGTAAATGCCATCGTTCGTGGGACAGTAGAGAGGAGATGAAAAGGTGGTAAACCTACGCATGAGTTGAAAGCGATCGATGAGGGATCGATTCCAACAGATGTGAGCTGTACCAGCTCCGTAAAGCTGATGGGGAGAGACGGCGCCATGTTGGAACAAGGCTGTGCTCTCGAATCGTGTCGCGGGATTATCGAGGTGCGCGGCTATTGATGATGAGGATGCGGACGCGATGTGGAGAGAGGGTGGTGGGAGGAGCAGATCGGGGAGGTCGGAAGTCAGGTAATCGTGGAAAGCGTCGAGCTGGTAACTAGGTTCCTATGCCAGACCCGTGTTGGTCGCAGTTGCCGTTCGAATTTGGAATCCGTTGGCAAGGTTAGGGAAGGAGGGCGAAAGCTGGTGAAACCGCCCGGGTCCCATGCGGCAAAACGAGGAAAAGGATAGGGAAACTTGCTGGCTATCGCAAGGAGACGAAGAAAAGGGGGGTTAAGGGAACAGGAGAATCGAAGAAATTACAAGAGATTCCAAAGATTAGACCTGGTCAGCTCAAAATGGCTGGAATGAAGGGCAAGGGTCTTGCAGTTGGAGAGAAGTGGTTGATGGTGGAAGATGGGGAGGGATTGATGGAGAAGTTGGGAAGATTTGGGAGAGGATGAGGATGATGAGGTTGTTACTTTTTTGGTTTACCTGTTCAACTCGCGAACCTGCTTCGTCCAGCAGCAGCGCTCCTACTGCTGCTGGGAAACCAGGGGGGAACAGGAACCAGACAATCAACTGGAAAGCCCAGAGCATGTGGCGGTACCTATAGCTAAGTACCTCGTCGCTTTATGGCAGTGTGTCTCTGGTAGGGTAGGTACCTTTGGTTTGCACTTTCTAATGTACCTGCAATCATCCTTTGAAGTACCTCTGTACTTTGATTGCAGAGGTCCATCAAGTTCCAGCCCAGCTTAGATTTGAGGTACGTACCTTTCCCTTTGCTTTCCGCTCCTTCCCTGTCCCAGGCACCTCTTTATGATTTGCGGCTGTCGATATTACGTGTCGAACACACAAGGGAAGGAAAGCAAACGATTGGCTGAGAAGGAAAAGTGTTGGCCGGTCAATAGTTTGACCGATACTTATCACGTGATGGATAATTTCAAGCCTGGGCACGGACACCAGAGCTCTGGACCCAGTTTAAGACGGAGACCACGATGAGTTGACAGCGGACATGGGACATTCACTCGCATCATCATTGCTTCGACACAACTAAAACAGCATTCGATCTCGCCTCTTCTCACACATCTATTGCCAAAATTACCAACTAGCTTACATGCGAGGCCCTTCGTAGCCTATCTTATCGTCCACCTTTCCCAAAGTAATCCAAACGCCGAGCTGTAGCCTCCATCGAAGCGGTCACCTGGCGCATTCCACCTCGCTCCTCCACACACTGGGCACCTTCCAATCCGTATATCCGAGAGTAGTGAAAATGTTATAGTTCGACATGTCCGGACTAACCGGAACCGCCAGCAGGGCTTTGCGAAGCGGAGGACTTGCTGATACTGGTTGATACAAGAGATGCAAAAGTACATGGTTTTGCTGTAGGCGCACATCCTACTTGGGCCCGGAGTGGATGACTTGCCTTTATAGGGTTATCATAGGTTGTTAATTGTATGCGAAATCAAATGGAGGTGCCAAGTCGAGGCTTAGAAGGGTGATTGGTGATGTGGCCTAGGACCATCGCTAGGGTAGATACTTATACTCGTCGGGCTATTGTCTGTCTGTCGTGAGGTAGGCTTTGTAGCATCATGGTGGATTTCGCATTGCATTGTTCTATGTTCTAGATATCCATACCTGCCAATGCCTAAGGCCGAGTCAACAACAAGGCTCTTGGTATGTAAAGGAAGCAGACATAGTATTGTGTCCCGAGAGAACTCTCAAAGAAAAGAGAATACCGACATTGATGAAAAGGAAACTAGGGCAAGTTTTATTCCATGGACATTGAAGAAGCCTACCGCTGGTTGGTCTCGTTTCTTTCAACTTACTTTCTCGTAAATAGATCTCTCAAGGTCGCTAAAAAGATTACTACTATAACATCTCTAAACATCTAATATTATAAGAAGCAAAATAAATCGAAGGTGTCCGATGTCGAATTAATTTAAACAGTTATCTACTTTAAGGGTATGTGATGATATATATGACCGAGGTGATAAAGAGAGAGAAAAAAAAAAAAAAAAAAAAAAAAAAAAAAAAAGCCTCGCTCGCAGGTTGCTCCTAGGATCGAATCCTGGTTGCTTCCCACGAGCTACCAAAATTGCAGTTTTCTAACCGTCTAAGTGCTCCAATGGCCACTTGGCCACTAGTCGCAGTGTCACCCCTGCTTGAGCTGCTTGGTTGGAAGTTCTTGCCATAACCTCATATATAAAGCTACGACGGGCTTGTTGGAGTCCGAGGACAGGTGCGAGAGGCTGGCTCCTCCCCAAGGGAAAGTCGAGCCCCTCAAGGAGACTTCTCATCCACCAACTCCGCGGAAACATGTCGAACGGTGCTTGCGAGAAGAGCATGATGGGGTAATGAATGGTTGGTTGTACTTTTTGATCAAACAAAGAGGGCGCCTGTCAGACCAGACTTGCCTTTAGAGACTGACTGAACTAGAACAGCTCAACTTCCCTCGGCCTGACAGAGATCACACCACTCACCTTTCTCACTTTCTCACGAGGTTGGCCTGCGGCATCTGGTTCTTACATGGGTTCATCCAAATAAACCATCAACGAAGCTCACAGTCCAACAGAAAATCCACTTCGTGGCTCTCCCCGCTTTCAATTATCTCCCAGGCAGCAATCTCGAGTTCGGTGAGTGTGCCATAGGCTGCAGAGACTCACAGCGTGACTCTCCCGAAACGTTCACCTGCATTCAAGCCCCGCCGGTTTTCGGTGTGTTGGTTCCAACCTGTGTTTCTAGATCCCTGACTTAGAGTAGGTCTAGATCTACATATCTCGAGCCGCAGCGCCGGTTTTAAATCAAACACGTCGAGTGGATCGTTTACCTTGGCTTCCCTGAAGCATTTAGAGATGAAGAGGAACGCAGGACTAGAGGAAATTTAGGAACAGGAGCTTTCTATCCGCAGTGATGCCTGAAGCCCGCAGACATGGGATCCATTCAAGGATAGTGGACCGGACTCGAAGAGCTAAACGGAGCTATGATTCGGCCAAATACCGAACTACCCCGGCAGCCTTGCCCGCTCAGACTGTGATAAAGTCTCTGATATGGACAGGGGTGGTGTTCCTGCGAGGGACATCGACGCCGCCGACGTGACCGATGTATTCCTGATATCCAGACCGAAAGAGCTTCCCCTCCCCCTCCCTCCCCCCTCCTCTCGAGAGGACCAACTCGTAGAAGGATAGCCATGGCTAAAATTATAAGTAGCCTCCGAATCTTTCCAATTTTCCGTTCCTCTTCTTCCGAACTGAGTCTCAGGCATAACCTACCACCACCACTTCCAAATCCCCAACAAAGCCCAAAGAAGCAACGAAACCCAAGTCCCACACAATGAAGCTCCCCCTCCTCCACCTCCTCGCCGCGGCAGCTGCCGTATCCGCCATCGCCCTCGACCCTCGCGACCCCTGGTGCACCCGCGTCGGCCAGCCCTGCTGGAAGAACAAGCGCGCTGCCGCTCCGGAACCAACCGTTGCCATCGAGGCTAGGGCCCCCGAGGCTAATGCCGACCCTTGGTGTACCCGCGTGGGTCAACCATGCTGGAAGAACAAAGTCAAGCGAGAAGCCGGTGCTGAACCCGCGCCCGCGCCGGAGCCCACTGCTGCGCCGATTCAGGCTAGGGAGGCGGAGGCTGCCGCTGATCCGTGGTGTACTCGTGTGGGACAACCTTGCTGGAAGAATAAGGTCTAAGAAACACCCTTGATCTGCGCATGAGATGGAACGTGGAGATGCAGCTACGTGCTTGGTAAAGGATGTGCCGATTTGCCCTAAGGGGGATAAACCTTACGATAGTCTCCAAGCTTGAATGAAAATAATTGGTGTCATTCTTTATTCGTATTGCAAACTAAATGTAAACACTCCAATAAACGCCCCATGCAAGGAAAACAACGAAACAAAACAAGCATTCATTCTTCGGATTCTTCCTCACTTCTCCCTCGACTCTCCCCCCTTCACCATATTCCTACATCCCCTTCGATGCCTACCCTCCCTTCCTTTTCAAACCCAGCTACTCGGGTTCGCTCTAACATGCGGAAAATGGTCATCAAACCCCGAAAGCGTCTTATACCCAATTCTAGCCGCCTCGACATACTCCTCTGCCAACCCCTCCTCACCCAACGCCTCATACGCATCCGACGCAAACTTAAGCGCTTTAACAACCTCGAACGTCGTCACGCCCCTCGTCCCCTCCCTATACGACTTGACCTTCCCGTCCTCGCTGACAACGGGGATGTGTCCAAAGGCCCGCAGGGCCTGATGCGCCCACCGCACCGTCTTGTTATAGTTCTTACGCGTGTAATACGCCTGGAGAAGCCACATGCTAGGCCACACGAGCGGCAGCTTAGGGATATCGACATAAACGTCGTCTTCGTGGAGGGCCTCGAGCTGGCGCCCAAGCTTCTCGATGGGACGGATAGCGGCATCAGGTTGGAACACGGTAGGCTTCTTCTTGCGCAGGATGAGCTCCAGCTCACCGAGCATCTTCATCCTCCTCTCCTGGTTCTCGGCAGCTGATTGCTCCTCGGCCGAGCAGAGCTTGCAGTGGCAGTTGAACCCCCAGTTACGGAACTGTTGCTTGCGAAGAGAGTAGATGGCCCGCGGCGCCACGTAGATGTGCGTGATCTCCGTGCCGGCGGGTATGTCCATCGTGGCCGTAGAGATGAGGAAGTCGCCGATGAAGGAGCGGTTCGTATTCGGAACGCACGAGTGGTTAGCATACGCCGCTGTAATCCAGAGACCCCTACACATGCCTTCGCGGCGGGCTGACCACCGCCGCTGCCACATGGCGTCGCTGATGCGCGGGCCGCTAAAGCAGTTTTTGCGACGGATCGACTCGAGGAGGAAGACGTCCACGACAGGCACGCCGTCGACGATGTCGCTCTCGTGGCCGCTGCGAACGTACGACCCGCCGTAGAGATCGAGAACCTTGGCGTGAAGGGACGGGTTATCGTGACAGGTCCTGACAAGGTTGGCGAAGAGCGCCGCCGAGTTGTGGTCGAGGTTAAACTCGTTAGGCACACACAAAGCCTTTTCGCAAAACACCATCTCGCCCGCCTTGATGTCCTTGGTGGCGAAGAGACCCCGGCCATGCACGGGTGACTCGCCGATGCGGACGTTACCCAGGAAAGACGCGTTGTCGAGGTGAATGTTCTTCGCCGTGATGGACCTGGCCATGGCCCTGAAGTCGTAGACGCCCTCGGCTTGCTCCTTGAGTCTCTCGTCGCACTTTTCGAGCTCCTGCTGGACGGCGGCGTTTTCGGGCTTCGCCTTGAGGGACAGCTCGTAGCACTCCTTGCTGCGCTCAAAGTCGCCGAGGGCATAGGCGGCACGACCGGCAGTGAAGTACAGCTTCCAGTCGGATTCCTTACCGGTCATGGCCTCCTTGGCGTCGGAGATGGCGTTATCGTAGCGCTTCATGATGAGGTTTGCGCCGGCGCGCTTGGCGAAGAGGTCGGTACGGAAGGCGGCATCGCCGGTGTCATCCGTCTCGAGTGCTCTCGAATAGCTATACATAAACTCTGGGGGTGAGAATTCATTTAAGTATATCTCGCAGACTCGAACAAGTCAAAGAGTCCAAAGGAAAAAGAAAGTGAAGTGAAACTCACCAGAGCACAGAGATGGGGTAACTCTTTGTAAGGAAGGCCTTGTCGCCAGCCGATTTCCAGTCAGCGGCAGTATCGGTCTCGCCCTCACCAAGCTGGAACTTTTCCGGAATGATCGGATCATCAAACTTGAGGTAGATGATATCGGACGGGTGGTCAACGCAAATCATATAATCGTCTTGACCATTGTACTTGTAGTAAGGTTCCTTGACGGCGATTACGGAGCCCTCGGGGATAATAGATAATATAGAGCGGTCGCTCTGGTTGTAAATGCCCATCTTATCGGCATCACCGTGCTCATCCTCGACGATGACGACGGTTCCAGCTCCCTGGTAGGGCGGAGTGATGGTCCTGAGAATTAGAATCTTTCCTTCATGGTGAGTCTCTACTGCAAGCTCACTGAGTCGCATCTGGAGCACAGCGTGTTAGCATCCGGAGCCATTGACGAGGGGGCCACTCTCATTCAACATGTCATGGCACGCGAGCATTTCGCAATAAGCCGGCACGACAATGAAAGACAAGCTCCAGCGGCTCACCTTCTCGAGCTCAGCCATGGGCTTATACGATGCCGGGTAGGCAAGGGCAAGAATGGGCTTCTTGACCAAGTTGGTGGCCTTTGGCCTTCCCAATTGCTTCTGCACGTGGCTGTTGTGAGTCTCGACGAGCAGATCGCGTGGGGCCTTGCGGGGCGGGAGCTTGCCGCTGAGGGCCTGGGCTTTCTTCAGGAACTCTAGGGGCACATTGGGGTCGATGTCAAGGAGGAGATCCTCGGATGAGACCTGGAGACGTAGGTCATCATCGCGAGAAGTTCCGTTGGGCTGATCATTCGCCATTGTCGCCGTGCGGTTCGAGGGGGCAAGCTTGCGGAAGATGCCAAGAAGGAAAGAGGTTATCTATAAGTACAAGCTCGAACAAGACGCCGGTCAAGGAACGAGGGAGGCCAGTACAATGCAGATAAGATCAAGGCTACAGATGGGAAAAAAAGCAAAGAACGCAACAAGTACGCATTCAAGGGGATACAATTGCCAAGGGAGAAGAGAGGGGAATCACAACAGGGCAGGGGGGAAGGTCAGGAGGCAACTGGGAGCTCGGGGACAGCTTGGAGCTTTTTTATGTATTATTTATTTTTATTTTATGTAGCTTGCAGCCGGTTCTTATTTGATGCTTAAACGATTTAAATGGGGGCTATGTGTTCTGGGGTAGATTGGACGATCGTGAGAGGTGGCATTTTGGACGTGCTGAGACGCCGTGCCGGATATATTAAAGACCGTCCTTGGATTCATGGTCCGTCCCTCGCAGGGATGAAGTCGGTTGTACATTGTAGTATGTAGTGGATATTGATGGGCTCGCGGCAAACAGCCTGCGGAGATGGCGGCTTTAAGGGGACGGGAGCAGTACACTAATTAGAATCAGAATTCGAAGACGCACTTCTAGTCCTTGGCGGGTGTAGGGAAAGGGGCTTCAATTCATGAAATGCAGAGTGCGAAGGAGGTCGACTTCCATGGGTTGGTCCTTGTCAGTATGAAGGGATCATGGCAGCTAGGGTGCTGGTTCAACATGGGACGAAAGACGAAACGAGTCTTTGCTTCTTCCAGCATCTCTGGAAACTTGTCCGTTTCGGGATGGAGGGGTTGTCTTAGCATTTACGAAGCAACGAACAGATCCGCAAAACGAAGGCCGCGTATCAGTTTAGCACGAACTCATGAAGGTCCGAACAAGGAAGCCTCTATGTTGAACAAAAGCCATGCAACAGAATTGTCGAGAGTGGCACTCGCCAGTTCCTGCAAGGAATCGAAGCGGCCCAGCCCAGGAACGAAAGGTTTACTTTTGCTTGTACGGATTGGACTCAAACTCGCACAAATTGAGAGACCGGAGCCGAGCCAGCATCGATCCTCAGCCGCTTCATGTGTTTTAAAGTACGGAGCACTGAAATGCACGGGTCACGAGTTGCAAGGACACGCGGACAACCTGTCTGGCTGAGCCTGGTCAAACCCAAGCGCCAAGTCAACCAAGCCTCGATGAGCCAGACCCAGATGAACGAACGCGGCGCCATCACTACCACTAGTCGCTCAACTGATTCGAGCAGCAATCGTCGATCATCATCGTCGTATCATGTACGTTCAATCATTGCGCTCCTTCCCACCAGCCCAAGGGCTGGGAAGCACCGCACCCAAGATTGCCCGCTGGGATTTGGTCTCCTTTTCCCTTCTCAGAATCAATGGTCTTGGATCCGACGGACCTCGCACCGATAAACTAGAGAATACCGAAAGTTGGTTTTGCGTTGTTCAATTTGGATGAGGAAAAAAAAAAAAAAAAAAAAAAAAAAAAAAAAAGAAAAAGAAGAGGAAATTTTCGAGCGAGGTAAATATGTAAAATGGGAAGGGACCCCACCATCACTTGCGGGACAAGTCACGTGGATAGTTGAAGAGTGGTGTCCCATAGATTTCTGCCTCAGGCAGAAACAAGATGAGCCTGAAGAGCACCTCCCAAAAGCATCCATCATCCGCGATCCCACTTAGACTCATCGCAGCCAAATATCTCGACATGGCCGCCTCAATACCCAGGATAGCGGCCTTGCCGCACACGATAACACCGCTACGAACATCGTCTCTATCGCATCTACGTCCTTCACGCGCCCGCGCAGCATCACCGCTCTCCTCCCTGACGTCATCTCTCTCCAACCAACTCTCGCCCAGACCCTTCCACACCACCCCGCCTCGGGCTCGAGAGGGCCAACACTTCGACACCCTCATATTCGTCCAGAGGCTCAAAGATGAGGGCTTCACAGAGGAGCAAGCCGCCGGTCTCATGAAGATCCTGAACGACGTCATGGAAGAGAGGTCAGTTCCCAATCCCCCCCTCCCCCTCCCTTTCTCCCATTCCCTGCCCGCGTAACCCCTTCTTCTTCCCGAACTAAAAACCAATTCTTCTCCCGCAAAAAGTACGCAAACCCTCTCCCGCACAATGGTCCCCCGCGAAGACGCCGCCCGCGCAACCTACACCCAAAAAGTCGACTTCGCCAAGCTCCGCTCCGAGCTCCTCTCCGCCGACTCCACCGAAAACAACACCACCCGCGCCACCTACGACCGCCTGAACAACGACCTCACCAAGCTCAACTCCCGCCTCCGCGACGAGATCAACCGCACCCTCGCCTCCGTCCGTCTAGACCTTAACCTCGAAAAGGGCCGCATCCGCGAGGAGGCCCTGGGGCAGGAGCTCAAGATGAAGGAGACGGAGGCCCGCGTCGATCAGGAGGTCGCGCTGCTGAGGGAGAAGCTGGAGCAGGTCAAGTTTCAGTCGTTGCAGTGGCTCATTGGTGTTTGTACGGGTTTCTCGGCCCTGATGCTTGGTGCTTGGAGGTTGTTCATGTGAAGCCGAGGAGCAAGAGGAATGCCCCCACAGGAGTGGGTATGGAAATGGAGTTATTTTGCTTGCTTAAAGTACATAGACCTGGGAGTCCTTCCTTTTCTTCTTTCTTTTGTATACTTTTCTTTACATACGTATACATATGGGACCATGCATAGAATTCGCGGCAGCGCGAAGGTGGATTATGTTTTCTTTTGTCCTTATGAATCGAGCACGTTTTCCCTCTCCGAGCTAACCGTAATTCATTCAATTGTGGCCGCATTATCTTACTCTAGAAAAGGATTGGAAATTTCCCAAAACTGGACTGACAACACATATTCCATCCCGATACTTCCCCAACTCATATCGCATCACTTTGATTTTCTGCCAAGTCTAACTGGTCCGGCTTGCGCGGGTGTCGATTGAGAGGCAACTGCTAGCAGCAGTTGACGGATGTCCAGGAGTTCAAACATTTAATGCGGACTTCGGATTTCGTACTTCTACTTTGCCCACAACCCGACGTCAGAACAGGAATTAAGTTTTAAATCCGGCTCCGAGGCCCGATCGACGCCCCCATCCATCACCTTCTTCCAAAAAGGCTTCCCGATCCATGCCAATCCCATCCCTTTCCTCTTTGGCTAAACCTCAATGTCCATCTCAATTCCGATTCCTACGTCACATAAGTAATTCGCTTCTTCTTGACACACACGGGCACACACACACACAGCCCGGATGCGCATGTCGCCAACTCCGGAGCATTCAGGTCGCTTTGCCAAGACTCGCACTCCAAATAGCCGCCACCTCCCAAACCCGTTGACGGCAGGAATGTCCACGATCAGCAGGATGGCGTCCACCAAACCCGGACCAACCCCGGCCCTGCCTCAGACAGCTACGGTTGCGCCGACAGATGCTCCGCGGCCGGCGCCGTATGGTCATGCCTGCACCAATTGTGTTAAGACTAAATGTCGATGTATCCTTCGAGGTCCCGGTCAGAGCTGTGAAAGGTAAGCTGCATGAATACAACATGTTCCGTTCCGTTCTCGTCATAGTTCTACTCTTCATCTTCCAGTTTAAGTCTTCTCGTTTACTCCTGTGATCAAGCGACACATTAAACTAAATGATGCCCTCGCTACAGATGCCATCGGCTGAGCAAGCCGTGTCTACCTGCCACTTACACGCGGAAGCGAGGGACCAAGAGACAAACCAGGACAGCCCAGCTCGAAGAAAAGCTAGAGGACCTCGTCTCCCTCCTCAAGTCCCAGCAGGACAAACCCGCCCCGACTCCCTGCCACTCGCATTCTCACGCCAGCCCCGGGTCGTCTCACGACGCCGTTAGCCATGTCCACACTGCAGACACTGTTCGAGCGGCCATCCCGTTCTCATGTACGAGCATACGAGCGGCGGCCGCCACGGGACTCCTGTCGCCCTCCCACTCGGCGTCTAACTCTGTGACTTGCAACTCACCACCGGGTTGCCACTCTCATGGCGGCCCGGATGACTTAACGATGGAAGAGATGGAGTCGTGTCTCGACATGTTCAAAAAGATCCATCTCTCATACATGCCGTTCGTGCTGATTCCCGATACCATGACGGCGAGGGACCTCAGGGCTTCGCGTCCATTCTTTTTCATGTGCATTCTGGCTTGTACTCACAAAGTCACGTCGGTACGATATGCCATTGGCGATAAGGCTAGAGAGGTATTATCCCAAAGGGTTATTATGGCAAACGACCGGAGCATCGATCTCTTGCTTGGTCTCATCACTATGCTCGCATGGTAAGTAAATGCAACTGCGCTTCTAGGCTAGTTACGAGGCGGATTAAACTCACCCACATATGCTTATGTATAGGTCAATCTACCAAGCGCGAGGCAAGCCCTTCAACTGGATGTTCTGTCATCTTGCCATGGCCATGGCCGGAGACCTTGGCCTTGATAGACCGATAACGTTGGAAAAAGGCGATGCGAGATTCGCCTTCACGGGCAGATGCCACGGAGGCCTCGTATCCAGGAACCTAAATCATGAAGAGCGCCGGGCTGTTCTCGCCTGTTTTGTCGTCTGTTCAGCGTAAGTTTTGTCCTTGTTTCGAATCCCGTTGTGGGAGACGATTACTTTGTGTACTAATAAGCGTGTGTCCCATCAGCATCGCCAACTTCCTTCAGCGACCCAACCCCATGCATTGGTCCCCCCTCCTCCAGCAGTGTCTGGATACCCTCCACGGGGCTCAAGACACGCCCCGGGACCAGATTCTCATCGCGCAGGTCCAGATGCAGCGGCTTATTGACGACATATCTCAATCGCCGTGGCGGACTCCCAATAGCGAATCTAATCACGACCAGAGCATCGACATGTCTCCGGCGTTTCACATTAAAGTGTTCCTCAACAGGCTGCAGGACATTATGCTCAGTGTTTCCGATCCAGAAATCGCTCAATCCCGTAAGTGTGCTTCAAACATCCTAGCAGATAGCTCGCACGTTTGTGCGCCCGTGGCA